GCTCTGTATTTCATCAATATTAGTTGCACAGGTCGTACCCCACTGTTGAATACCGTACATCCAAATTGGTTTTGATACTGCGTTGTAAATAAAGACTTTGTAGTCTAGTTTTAGACCGGAGTTTTTATTTAAAAGCCTATTTAAACTACGTGTAGGTGCTTTTAATTTCATATGTAGTACTTTTGCCTCTATATGTCTCTTCTAAGTGTATACCGAGATATGTAACATCATTTGCGTGGGGAATGTTTATACCAATTAAGCGAATTGCAGGACATGATTGCGGTCTTAAAGTTAAAGTAACGTGCTTAGACTTTTGTTCATTAACTTTCATTCTCCAGTTTTCTAGCCATTCTTCGATGAGGAGTAAAAAATCACTAATCGGTTTATGACCTAAGTATCATATAAAATTGAACAGGCACAGCTTTATGTATTTTGTACATCTGATTTCTGTTCTTATTTCATTGGTTATTCGGTTAACTTGTTCGATAGTACTATGCTTTTCACGAAAGCCGAATTGGCGATCTGGTATCACATTGTTACGGTGGAGAAAAGGAGATATTTTTGATAGCAGAATTTTTTCAAATAATTTGGAAAGACTGGATAGACGCCACCTGTGTGTGGTCTTTTCCCGGTTTGGCTATCATTAATATCTGCGGCTTTTCCCACGCCTTTGGAAAGTAATTTAATTTTAGAATGGCATTAAAGAGTTCAGAGAGCAATGCTTGTGCAAGCTTGTGCAACTCTTGGAAGCTCTATTAGCATTTTAGATGTAATGAGGTCGTGGCCTGGAGATTTCTTTGGATTCAGTTTCTGTATCGCGTTTAGCATTTCTAGGCTTCATATTTTAATTGCCACCTGATCTTCCTGGCCGTTAACAGCGAGTTCCGGCTGAATGAAATTATTAGTTGCGTCATTTGGCTGGAATACATTACTTAGATGATTTGCAAAGCAATTTGCCTTTTCTTCGTTACTACGTGTCCAGTTACCATTTGGGTCCCTGATTGGCATATTCATTTTTATTGGAGTCTTAAATTTCTTTTGTGCTTTCCACAGTGAGTATTTTTTTTGCAGAATTTGGCGCTAGTTTTTCTGTATATGCCTTGGCATTGTGATCTTCTGCTTGTTTCAGTGCACTTTTCAGTTTCCTCTCTGCTGCTTTCAGCCGTAACTTTGCTGCTGGGGAGCGCTTATTCTTTACTAATTCTTCTATTTCTGTATTTGTTAGGATTTTTGGGCACGTAGTAGGCTTTTTACTTTTTGGAGTTGCTATGGTTGGACATTATTGAGCTCATTAATGTGGTCATCAATATCGTTTTCACAATTCAATATTGGGTTGATTTTAATATGACTACTATTATATTTTTTGTATTTTAGCCAGTTGGTTTCTCTGTTAGTTAGTCTTGATTCTTGTGCAACTATCTGGTGAGTGGTCTGAAGACAACTCAGCAACTTTCACAGCTGATACAAGTTGCCTGTCGATTTTTCTTCTAGAGGCAGCAAAGTCTATTAAGTCAGGTATATTCTTTTCTGACAGCTAGCTGCGTCTAAAAAACAAAAGCTACGCAGGAAAAAAAGTTTACATTTGAAATCAGCGACCTTAAATTGGCTGGCAACAAATTCCATGCCACAAAAAAGGTTAATTTTGTTCCCTTTTGTTTTTCTCATAGCGTTTTGAGGTCCTTTGGGGTTTTTTTAAAGAGCTTCGTCTGGAAAGAAACCAGTAATACCGAATTTTATAGCTGAAGTAATATCGTTATGCAGATTTTGTGCCGTTTGTTCGGTGCTATTCGGCAAGATGAGGCAAATTGCTTTAAATATAAAAAAATTCGCAAAACAGCAACTTTCACCCACATATTGAAATAGTAGATACATTGAATGCAAATAGATTTACATCGAAAATACGGATTGTACTGTTTTTCTATCCGTGCAAGGGCACAGCAACGATACGCGGTGTGATTTTCGTGTTTTACGTATGTTCGATTTTCTTTTTTTGGTACACATGTTATAATATACATATATGTTGGTAATATCCGCCATATTCGATTGTCAGTTTGTTTTTGACAGATAAAAAAGTTAGTCGTGTTTTGGGCGCTTTTGGTTTTTTGCTAAATTTTGAGAAAAAACAACGTCGCATCATTGTCAAGGACGATCCAGATTACCTCAAAAGGTCATAACTAGTGACGAATCATGGCTGTAAGGTTATTACATCGACGCCAAAGCCCAATCATCCCAATGGAAGCGTCCAGAATAACCAAGACCGAAAAAGGCTCGTCAAGTTCGGTCAATTGTGAAGGTTTCGCTCAATAAGAAATACTAACCAGAAGTTATGCACCGTTTGCACGAAGCAATTCGTCAGAAACTCACAGAATTGCGGAAAAAACTATCGTGGATTTTGAACAATGATAACGCACTAGCTCACACATCGATGATTGTGCGTGAGTTTTTGGCCTAAAACCAAACCGTTATATGCCTCAACCAGGGTATTAACCAGACCTGGTCCCGCTGACTTTTTCCTCTTCCCAAAACTGAAGACACAGATGAAAGGAAAGCGTTTTGTTTCGGTTGAAGAGATTAAAGAAAAATCGAAAAAAAGCGATTGGCGATACCAAACAACGCGTTTCAGAAGGGTTTTGAGAATTTTAACAGGACAAGATAGTTACAGATGAATAAATAAGTACTTTTTGAAAAAATAGAATTTCTGATCAAACAAAATTCGCTACAATGGTAAATATATCATATATTCAAACCTATGTATATGCAAATTTCATTAAAATGCTGAAGAAATTTTAACAAACAATATTGAAATTTGAAAAACTTCGAACAAAAATTTCAGCATTTGAGCAACGAACGAGTATCGAGCGAGTTCAGAGCTTTAACTCAAACCAATCTGCAATTAGAGATGGGAACTGAAATTGAAAACGAGTTACTTGTATTTAACAGTATTTACCAGGAGTAACTCCCAGAGTAGAAAACAACCAAAACCAGAACATTGATAACTATTTAATATGTATAGGAATAGATCGCATTTAGCCGATTAAAAAAAAGCATTAGATTGTTACGAAGAAGAATGAAATATGAAAAATCTTATCATGTTTTTTTTTTGGAAAGTTAGTAAAAACCTTACGGCGGAGCGTCGTTCAGACTGCGTAACGGTTCACGGGCTAGAACGGATAAATGGATAAAGAAATTGCGACTTATTTTGCAGATCACCTCAATAAGGTATTTCAACCAAATGCTGCTACAAATAATGCACCTTTGTCACCGAGCCGTTCTGCTCCAAGAGGCACTGTCACTTCTGTATCTGAGTCTGAACCAAAAAAAAATGTTATTTTGTTAGATCTAAAAAAACACCAAAAATGCCTAAAGGAATTGAAAAGAAAATTTCTCTCGTTCTTCTTCCAAAGCTTTCCAGTACCGCATTATGCATATGGAAAAAGTCGCAGATAGTTTTAATAGCTAAACCAGGTAAAGAAGCAACGTTGGCATCATATAGGCCAATGCTATCAAACACTTCTCCTTTCCACCAAGAAAATGATATATGTAGTTCCTACACATCATTGAACAAGTAATCTTTTTTAACACATCAAAGAAACTCATTTATTGAATCTGCTTAATTTAAGCCTACAAATAAGTTTTAGAATCTTAATGATTAATAAATTTCTGCTTTAGTTCATTAATAGCAAAGGACGTCGGTCAAAACGTTGCTCTTCAAATTTAACCTTGCTGGGCAGGATAAAACGTTCGCAGGAGAATTCCGATGATGTTGCAGTTTCAGCAGGTATTTTTGTCAGGTATTTGTCACTTCAGGGTTAACCTTTGGTATTCGTTAGATATGCATTTGTGAGGTAATGTAGCGTTTTTGATTGGAATCGCTGTATTTTATGGAAATTAGTTTCGAAAGCTGAGACCCATAATTGTTTTCCGTACATCCATATTGGTTTTATGACAGAATTATATAGAAAAATTTTATGATTCAAGCAGTTTTTTCCAGAAACCAATTTTTACTGGGGGCTTTAAGTTTGAGGTGTTGTATTTTAGCAGAAATATTGCCCTTCCAAGCCAGTCGCTTATCCTGGTGGATGCCGAGGTATTTATCTTCGCTTGCTTAAGGGATCATTACGTTGTTTAGTTTCAGTATTAGGCATGTTTTTGTCTTTAGAGTGAACGTGATTTGCTTATATTTTTGTTCTTTGACTTTTTAGCGATAGTTTGACAGTCAGACAGTGTTTGAGGCTTTTATTGGTCCGACATAAAATAATAATTGTGAAATTTCTATTAAACTGCAAAATCTATGAGATCAGGTATTTTATTTGCATCGGTTGACCACTGTATAAGTTCCTTTGGAGAAACAATATCAAGATAATGGCGCTTTGTAACCGCTGCAGAAATTTTCCTCGGAACTCCTCTTACAATTTGTGGTTTTACGTTTAGATATTTTTCCAACAAATGGAGGGACCTACAGTTTATACTAAGCCGTCTCCGAACGGGTGATGTTTTTTTATGAGGAGCTTTATTTCATGCCAGAAATACACTCGGAGGGGTTGACATGCCCTGCCGCAGAGCGACTGCAATTAGAAAATTTAACTTAACTTTTTATTTAAATTAATTTTCTATAATTTAAAATCGTTTTGTTTCGGTGTCATTCAAATCTGGGTTTTAAGCTAAAAGTCTTGGCTCAACTTTCAAAACAAAGTCTTTATTTATAATGCGACTGTAAAAGCGTGTATAGATGTATGGAATCTGTATAAAAAAAAAACAAAGATTCCAGTCAAAAACATTGAGAATGTTAACGGGCGCCATCAGCCCTTTTCGCTTTCAAGATTTGATTTGAGGCTTGTGATATCGAAGCAGATTCAGTGAAACAAAAATAATTGGATGTGAGTCGGATTCGGTATTATGAACTGTTAATCATTCGGGTAGTACTTGCGATCGTCTATTAAAATTACAATAGATTCATATGACTTAAATTTAGATTATAAACAAAATGCCTTCTTTTACAGGATCTTACCGAAATTGAGCCATATGTGGAACAATATCTACGAATAACTGGCTTTTATTTACAAATATTGTACAGGATGACAACCGTCTTTCAGCACTCCTCCTTTCCCGTGCCTAAGGATTTTTTCAATGTTTTGCTTGTGTCCATGTAAGTATTTATTTTGGCCACAATCCAAAGGTTGTGCTGTGATCGAGTCGCGTTAACAGCGGCATGTCGAGTTTTTATTGTAAATTTTTAAGTGATATTTAACTCGATCGAAGTTGGATATTCACGTTGTGTGATCATATCAAATTTAATTTACCGGAAGCTATGTTCAAATCGATTATTCAACGAAGGTTCTGCTTTGTATTTAAATTTATCAGAAAATCGGTTTGAATAAAACTTATCTCGGATTTAGTCCGTTTTTATTTACAAAGTATAAAATGCCGAGAGATGTACACTATGTAAGTATGTTTGTTGTAAAGCCTTTCCGAAATTAATTAAAATGAATGCAGTAAAATACAAAAACGAAACCGTTATAAATCAGTAGTTCACGAAGCTTCTGCTCAAAGTTTTTACAAGAGATGTGCCACTTTCCGCTTGCAGGAATAATATTGTATGTAATTTAATAACCCTCAGACCGATTGTCCCCGAAGAGTTTGTGTCAACGATTTTCACGGCAGAATATTCGCATGGTACATATTGTATGTAAATACAAGATGGGTATATTTCACTGTTATTGCGCGCAGGGTTTTGGGAGCCGCGACATAAAATCCTGGCCAATGAATGAAAAAATAAAATGACAAGAAACACCCTTTTCATCTACAGACGTTTTAAGGAATGGAAGAAAATACTCCAGTTTTGCAGAAAGGTGTAGAGTGATTTGGTTGCTCTGGGAATTTCCAATTGCCACTAAACAACGAGAAGAGAAAATAATGGTACTATTGTGAATTTGGCTTTAATGGCATAAGGCGTAAGCTAATCAAGAAGTAGAATAACATATATATATATATGTATATATATATATATATACAGTGGCTCAATAAAGAACTCGGACATACATTCCACTGTTATTAACATGCAGTTTCAAGCTAGATTTTTTTTAATCAATTGATATTAAACATTTTTGTAGGGTATCCAATAAGGATTTAAAAAATACCAATAACAAACAAATTAAATAGTTTACAGGTCTCCTATATCCTTGCTTCAAAAAATTAACATGTGCCATGCACAATTTGTTTGTTTTTCGTTTAAAATTACATACAATGTATATAATCAAACGTAAAAGCTTGAATTAAAATTTTAGTAGTTTTTTTGGGTAGATAGCGTGGACAAAGCTCAATTGAAGTAAGGAAGTTAATCATTAGTCATTTTGAAATAGGAAAAACCATTCGGGAAATCGCAAAAATTGTGAGCAGACCCCGCTCGTCTGTGCATGACTTGATTAAACGATCCAAAATCAGTCGGAAACAAAAGAAGTCTGGACGGCCGAAGTTGTTTTCGGCTGCAGATGAGCGGTGGATAGTGCAGCAAATCAAAAAAAAAAAATCCAAACATGAGCGCTTCCAAGCTCTCAACCGAAATTTTTGCAACATCTCAATATAAATTGTAATCCGGAGAGTATCCGAATAGACTTACGAAAAAATAATTATGATGGAAGAGAAGCATGGAAGAAACCTTTTATAAACGAGGTTAACCGAAACAAAAGGATAAAATTTGCAAAATGTCATGGGGATAAGGATTTTCAATTTTGGAAACAAGTTTTATTTGTAAATGAAAGCAAATTCAATATATTTAGGTCAGATGGACAGTCTAATATTTGGAGAAAACCGAATGAACAGTTGCTGGAAAAGAATTTACGTCCGACTGTTAAACACGGGGGCGGCTCAGTAATGGTATGCGGTTGTATGTCGTCAGCTGGTGCTGGAAATTTGTGTTTTATAAATCGTAATATGGACCACAAGCAATATCTGACCATTTTAAAAGAAAATTTAGAGCAAAGTCTGCAAAAGTTGGGAATTAAAGCCAATTTCCAGTAGTACCAAGACAACGATCCCAAGCATAAAGCTGATGTCCGTCTATGGCTAATGTATAACTGTCTTAAAGTGCTTGAAACACCTTCTCAATCTCTTGAAAATTTCCGTAATTGAACATCTGTGAGCTCATTTGGAAAATAAACTGAAAAAAAGACCCAGAAGCCGCTATTTTGGAAGAGTGGGAAAAGTAAATTCTTTAACATGCAAGAAGCTATTGAATAATTGAATTTCTGCCAAGAAGACTGAGTGCTATCAGAAAAAGTAAAGGCTTGCCGACCAAATATTAAGAATATTTTGTTTTTCTTTAAATAATATTTTTAAATTCTATCTTATGTAATATATATCCGAGTTCTTTTTTGTCATCAGTTTTGTTAAGTTGTTATTTTCATATTATTTTTATACGACCGGGTTGAATTTGGTTTGTGGTTGTTGGCGGTTGGTTGTTTTGAAAAATAGAAATATATGTTAAACAGAAAGCCCTCGATTTGCATTTTATTATTTATTTTTTTTTGTTTAAAGTCATATAACTTGTGTGTCCGAGTTCATTTTTGAGCCACTGTATATATATATATATATAACCAATTTGTAGTTTTGTCTCTGGATGCTTTTCCAACAAATGGAGGGACCTACAGTTTATCTAAGACGCCTCCGAACGGCTGATGGTTTTTTTTATGAGAAGCTTTGAGATCATGTCAGAAATACACTCACTCGGAGAGTGACGTTGGTCGCACTGGAATTTGAACCCGAGCCTTCCGAATGGCAGTACGCAATGCTAATTACTCGGCTAACTTGTTATTCGGAGTTATATTGAAAAAAAGTATTCAAATCGGGCCACTATAACATACATTTTTTTTGAATAATAATAACTTAAATAACGCTTCTAAGAACATAAAATTTGGTATTCTCTACACACATGATAAATTGTAAATTGGTACTGAAAATCATCGATCATGGAAATAAGCTTCGAGTTTTATTTTTAATTAAATAAGCTTAATTTACTATCCCTTTGAGATCATCTAGACACCTTAGGCCCTTTCTTTGTGTTGATGTAGAGAAAACTTTGAAATGGTACGACACTTAGGTGCTTGTGAAATAATTTAAATACTCATTCCACCAGCAATAAAGGCAACTTTCCACGATCGGACTTGGGTTTACTAATTTACGGTCACCAGCTTGTTGGATATTTGGATTATCTTTTATACGTTTCCCTTGGAATGTTACGCGATTTGTTCAGATATGAGGCTTTGGGTAAAAACTCAGTAAAAAAGCGTAGAATCGTAAATTATAGCATTGTAGGCGCGAATGTACAAGCGATTTTTAGTCCTAAATTGTAATTTATTAATTTTGATATAATCGTGAGAGTTAAAAAGACTTCGCCGCGGTCGAACGCAACTATTCCTTCTTGTATAGCACTAGCAAAATGCGAATGTGTATTTGGTATCATTTGTTTGTTCACATCGACACAATTAGCTTGTTGTTTTTTAATGATTCGGCAGCACTGGGTCCTACGGAAAACTCTTAACTTAAACATTAATAGCCCAAATAACATTTTTAAATACCTCCCGTCCTTGCAACCCAACTAAGGCAGAAGGTAGTTGAGAAAACGGCCCTAAGTGTCACAATTAAACTGAGCAGTTAACCATTGACAGAATCGTTTGCTTTCGGCAATTCGGAAATTTAATGAAATTGTAAGTCATAAAAAGGGCCGGTAGCCGAGTGGTTAGCATTGCGTACTGCCATAAGGAAGGCCCGAGTTTTTATGTTGTGTTTTATAATTTTTGGAAATAGCCAGAAATCAAAAGGAGCTATATCCGGGGAATGTGGTGCTAGACGTATTTCTTCGATCCCAGAGATCGCAATAAAATTACTAGTTATTTCAGCAGTGTAGGATGGCGCATTGTCATGATGTAAAAAGTAGCGACTCAAATCCTTTTTCTTCCTGTATTCTAAAAAATGTTTCAACAATTTTGGTAAGCACTCTTCGGTGTACCATTTTGCATTTGCCGTCTGACCCTTTTCCAGTGGAATATCAGCTACGATTTTAGATCGAGTGAAGTAAACTGACGTCATCACCTTTGCTGCTGATTTATGGGTGGGCTTGCTCCTATTGGGTCTCATACGATGGCCTGCTGTTTGGTGTCTGGATCATACCTATAGAACGAAGATTTGTCACCAATAACGACTTTATTAAAGTTGCTAGACTGGCCACATAAAGAATGTGGTACCTATCGAACTGATTTCTTCATGTACCGCAGATGATTACTTAATATTCGCGATAAAGCCATGGCATTTAAGCCCAATTCATTAGCAATAATTTCTTGTGTCAATCGTGGGGAATACGATACTAGGTGAATAAAAATGGTCCCGCACTCTCCGCTTTCCATTTTCATTAATTCCTTACTGTGTGGGCAAATAAACCATTCAAAAACCTTGAGCGCTTTTGTTGTAACCACTAAGACTGTAGGTCTCGTTAAAGAGATATTCATTGTGAGCCTTCTGCCATACGCAGTGTCGCTACAAGTTGGATCACAGGTGGGATAGACAGCCTATATAACTGGCCAAAGACTTTCAGCACTATTACAAAGGCTTCTTTGTTAAGACGATATTGATCTATGAATTTAAATTCGAAGAAATTTTGTATCAGCAAATTTAAAAGTAGATTGAAAATGGTCAATATTTGCGCTATATTTTCTCATTGGTTTCTCCAAAATCCTTCCATCATCAAAAATGCCACTACGGATGAAATAATTTTATTTTGAATTGAAAATCACAATATTGTTAAATTCAGTACAAAAAATAAACTCAATTCCTTTTTTTTTTTTTGCACACGTTTGTTTCCAGCTCATTCAGAATCGGGTTTGCTTATCTTCGAAAAAGTCGGCTTCATAACACCATTTCAAACAGATATTGATTTTCAATTCCGAGAAATAAGCAATTCAGTGTCAGAATCAAAGTGGGTGTTTGAATATTTAATGTTATTAGCTGAACCTTGAATATTAACTGATGCCAATTTCAAGTCTATAACTTCTAATGTTGTTGCTTATGGCCCTTCAGGAGCTAGAGGCGCCGAACTTAAGTCCACACTTGAAAGGTTTGTCGATGGATAATCCTTTCCGTTAGATTACTAGCTTAATATCTGACGCGTGTAGTAGCACGTTTGCTATTATCAGTTGAAAGCTTAGCAGATATATGCGAGTGGCGGCTGATAAATTCGCGGCCCAAAGTACTTAATGTTAATGGTGTTCGGTTTTTAATATTTCAGTATAGACTCCCACAAGTAAAATACACTTTTACATCGTGAATACAATGCCTTTATACCACTGAAAAAATATTCTTCTCTCCAATCGTCGCTGCTACTTTTTTCATATCAGGTGTACAACTTTGTTTCCGCCGTTTTTTTCAAAATTAAAAGCTTTATTGCGAAAAAGTGCTTACAGACGTATTATTCAAAGTATTGTCCTTCGCTAGTGACAACTTTCTCCCATCTTTCCGGCAATTTTCGGATCCTCTCATGAAGCAATCTATTTTTCCAATTCTTCGAAGGATTGAAAATGTTGATCTGCCAGGCCGTGTGCCATCGAACGGAATAGGTGGAAGTCAGAAGGGGCGGCATCTGGGGAAAACGGCGGGTGGGGCAAGACTTTCCATTTCAGCGTTTCCAGGTACTTTTTGACCACTTTTGCGAAGTGAGGCCGAGCATTGTCGTGTTGGAGGATGACTTTGTCATGTCGCTCTTGATATTGTGGCTGCTTTTCTTTTAGCGCGCGACAAAGACGCATTAGTTGCGTTCGGTAGCGATCTCCTGTGAGGGTTCACCCGGTTTTAAGAGCTCTTAGTAAATCACACCGAGCTGATCCCACCAAATAAAAATCACAACCTTGGCGCATCGAAATCACCATTTTTAAAACGTTGAAACCACTCCCGACACGTTCTTTCACTTAGAGCAGCATCACCGTAAGTTTCTGAGAGCATTCGATGCGCTTTAGCTGCATTTTTTTTTTTCGAATTGTAACAGAAAAGTAAAACTTCCCGCAAATGGCGGACATTTTCGAGCGTGAACTGAAACGGCGATGACAATTCGTTAGGCACTGTTCACACTCACTTTAAAGGCATTATCATCTAAGTATTTCAACCAGCCCCAGCCGGTACAGCCACCTATCGGAAAACGGCGGAAGCAAAGTTGTGCACCTGATATTTAAATGCGCGTGCGAAATCTATCAAGCTCCAGTTCGTTGCTGATTTGTAATCCTTCTACTATCTGCCACAATTTAATTATTCGATCAGCCAGTACTAATATTTCCACTTTCTGAACATTTTCTTCGGTCACGACCGTCACTGGTCGCCCATTTTTCAGAACCGAAGAACCGATGAGATCTTTTTAAAAATGTCTTTCGGCATACTTCCTTTTTTACAAAGAATTTAATCAGAGCGAGGGGCTCCAATTCGCGAGTAATGTATGTTCATATGCTTGTCTCTTCGTTCTCGATTCCATCGATTTCTTCTATACAACAGCACCAGTATACGATACACATGTATCTTTTCTTTAAGAAATTGATTGTGGTTGATTTTATAAAAATCTAACAACACTCATACAGGTCCACGCCTCCTATTTGTTTGTTATGACACTTGATAAAAGCAAGTCTAGGTATATTTCCACTTACTGGACTTCATTGTATGTACGTATTGTTTTAGATTGTGACGTCCTTTAAATTTAAGTATCTGTTCATCGGTCTTTTGATACTTCTGCTTAATTTTGATGGGTTCCAAATAGCTCAACCAGGTCAATTATGACTTCTATGATTCTCCGAATCGGATATATATATAACTCGTCTTCTTCGGCACTTTCTTCTCTATCATAATTATTGCAGTCGAAAATGGTTGTTATTTTTTTATTTCTAATTCTGTGAGACCTTTTCCACTCACTTCTTAAAAAAAATATTGAAAATGTAATTTAAAGTTTTCTAAACTTCATTTTTTTATCTGTTATTATATCTAGTGTTTTATGATATAATTCACTTGTCTTAGACACATTTGAACTACCTCGCAATTGAACATTTGCAAAAATTAAAAAAATAATAATTTCGTAAACGAATACTCAGAAAAAGGTCGTTTAGTAAAAACAACAGAAATTATAAGAACTAAGAACGAAACCAATGTTGCAACATTTGACATTAAAGGGTTAAGTTCTAACTGTTTGTCCTATGCATATCGCTGGTAAACTTGGAAATTAAATGCTCTCTTACTGATCGTAATATCTTTTGTTATAGCACAAGAATTCAGCAGTTTGTTTGGTAATATTAATTGGTCTTTCCCCATTAGTATTAAAATATTTGGAACCGGCTATCATGTGGACTTCGCTTCACTGTAGAACAACGTTGTCATTCCGCAGAAATCTTTTGGACAAGGGTTTCAGCGTTCCCCAACCCCTAAAACAACAATAGTTTCTTATTCAACTTCCTCTTTATATGGATTAGTGCTATTGTAAGATAATCTTTACAATAACAAACTCAGTAATTACCTAAGGTTTTTTAAATATTTATCTTATATATTTTTTTATATATAATTTTTCATTATACTACCAAATAAATCAAAAATATATGTAAAATATGCTTGTAAATCGTCCTTACTTGGAACAAAAAACACTATAAACTTTCAAACAAAAACTTTAAGGACTATTTTGTTTAACCAATTGCAACAACTTTTATAAAAATAAAAACAACGTATGAACTGTTCGGTTCTCTCCGAACTTAGCGTTTTATGATTGTTTTGATTTATATTTACCGTAGATCTTTCAAATTACCTTAAATTGTATATTTCAGATCATCAAATAATTTTCGAATGAAGAGCGTGTTTGGTTTAATCGAAAAATATGTGATAACCAGTCTAACTAATATTCTTCCGTTGGTGTTTAAAAATAAAGAGCTTCAAGAGGTAATATGATATTTTATTGAACTAGACCTTAAAATATATCAATGCTGAAATCCTTATACCTTTCATGAACTCATATACAAATACAGTGATGAACTAAAGTATTGGCACAGCAAGATAGTTCAATTTTGACACCTTTTTTTTTGACCACTTCGTTTAACCCTCAAGCGGTCGCCCGGTCATTTATAACGGTAGCGGTCGCGCGTAATCGAAAGGACCTTTGGGACTTAACTTATAATCGTATATTTTTTGTGTGTTTAGATACAATATCATTGTGTATAGACTCCAAAAAAGTCGAACATAAGTAACTTAAATTAAGAAAAAAGGCAATTATAAAATTAAGATATGTAACTCCATTATATAATTATGAATGAAAATACATTGTAAGGTAGAATAAATCTTAATATTGCATCACAAAGCTTCGCTATTAACGAATAAACGGGCTTAGTTTGATCAGTATCGAGCGAACGTCGAGTTGCTCTCACTGTCCGACCCTCTGCGTGATGCCCATGGTAGTCTTTTCTATGGGCACAATAAAGATATATTTCTTTCTTAATGTATTGCATTTAGGTAACAATAGCCGAGTGACTAGCATTGCGTACTGCCATTTTGACGGTTAGGGTTAGCGTTCCGGTCCGAAAATTGGAGGAGGAGCTGTAATGAATTTAATAATAATTCATGTAATAATATTATTGTAACTTCATCGCAGCAACCTTCTCTAATGTGGGTTAAGCGACCTTAATGCATTGCTTACGATTTGAGAGACTCATAGTTTTCACCCGGCTCCTGGAAGTATTGACATTCTTGGCTGAGGGACCATATTTGTTTATCTCCATAAATCCAGCATTTATTGGTTGTATAAACTTTATTAGAGTTTTGTTTATGAAAGGTATAAAAAGTCGACAAATGCATTTGATATAAGCATTTTTACTATTGACCGAAAGTGCATAATTTTGTATATCTGATCAATATAATAATTATAATCACATGTTCTTCTTAATCTTTTCAGTTGGTTTTGAACCATGTTAATGCAAAGGAGGGATTTTCATTCGAGTTATTAAATGCTTATCTTCAATCTTTTATAACTGATAACAATGAAGATTTTTCTCTGAGCAGTTTGGAGTTTCTAACCGATATTTTGAGAACAGTGTTTCAAGGTAAGTAAATGAATTAATTATTATATCTAAAGTCGATCATACTGGCCACTATAGGAGGCTCAAAAAGAATACCCAATTGTCTTAGGAACCATTAGCCGCTTCGCTGAAAATTCTTGGAACTCGTAGCACGCAAGGGCGACATATCAGCATTGAGCACGAGTTTTCGCCTCCAACATGAACTATAAAATGTCCGATTTTTATACTTAAAATTAAATCAGTTTTTCTTTTTATTTTTTGCTTTCCAAATCTCCCTGTTCCAGTATTTCATTGTTTTCAGCTAACATGATAACCCTTGTGTTCTCAGGAAGTAAAATACTTAGTTTTACAAACTCCATTTGACTCGACGAGCTACTGAGAAAGCTTAAACGCCTTTCATAGAAAATCCGTCAATACCTTAATTAACACCCTTCTTGCGAAGAGCTTGAGTTGCTTCACGATATTCTTGTAATACTGACATGACTGAAAAAAACTTTTCATTGCCCAAAACAAAAGCATGGAAAGAGATAAATGTAAGATTAATTTATCTATGCCACTGATGGGTTTAAGATTTTAAGACAAGAATTACTAAAGCTACGAGATTTAACGTTATGAGTAGTTGTGAAATAATTGTTGTTGATAAAAATATATCTTATTTTTTCATTTTAAATTTACATGGTTTAAATCAGAGTTGCTCCACAAACGTAACTATATCATTTGTTTCGCTAAGAAGAAATAAAACTGAACGAAAAGAAATCGAAATGCAATCGTTAACGTTGGAACTGTATAAACTCATCGTTAATGTCAACTTTAAAATAGCTTCGTACTACGATTCAACTGCACACGTTTCAAAATTGACACAATCTGTACGTTTCGGATAAAAGGGAAAATAAACATATTTTTATAACTGCTTTAACTTTAATGTTTCCAAATGCTTAGTTGAAACGATAGACATTTTTCGATTATCGTGATATGTTTGTTTGGCCTTTGGTTAAAATTAAATTGAATATCGCATATGGATCTGCCGATTTTAGAGTTAAATGAAGAATAATCTCATAATCTTACGTTAGAATTGTTTTAAGGCTCACAAATACAATATTTTCTCAAATGAAAAATAAATATCCTATTTTGTAACTAACATCTTATTTATTTAATTTAATTAATTTGTGTATGAAATGTAGGTTTTTCTCACGTAGCACTTTTATCACCTTTCTTAATGCTTTTGTACCAACAGTGTTACATAAAAAATGTATAAAAACTAAACATTGCCTTTCATTTATTTTTTTAGGTGGAGAGATTTTCGTTGTTGCACACCGTTACGATGAAGTAATACAACTCTTTGCTGCTTTGATAATCTCTGATCTTTCAATGGCTCTATTTCGCAATGTACAACAAAGTGTTATTAAAGGAAACTCATTATTATCTTATGCATGCACAGATATACTGTTACTAGCATCAAGGTGAATATTCGTTTTAAATTGTTATGGAATATTGTTTTAATAACATAATGATTATTTTATTTATACTTATATTACATGTCTATGTGTGTCTATGTATGGACGCGCGTAGTTGCTTAGACGATCGATCTGAAGAATTACGGAATCAACTTGACTTCTGGGTGCAAACAAATAATAGATTCGCACTGTTTTCCTCTGATTTTAAACGTTTAAATGTTGAACGCCTCATAGGCCATTATTTTGCGTTATGCTTGGGAAAATGTTCTAAAGAAGATATTGAAATTTTATTACAACGCTCCGTTAACAGTTACAACGTTAAAAGTTGTCTTACAGATAACTGCCATAAAGCGACGTTAGAGGTAGCGAAATCGAAAGCCCGCAGCAGATTATGTAACGTAATAGAGGCGTTCGAGCGTAATGAGATATGTGTCAAGGATTACTACGAATTGGTAACTATGATTTTTTAAACATTTTTTTGAGTATAATGTTTGTTCATTTTGTACTTAGCTGGTCAACAAAAATTTTTTTCTTGTGTGTTTCTTCATGCATAAATAATGATTCTAGGCAATGAACAAAAGTGAAAAATTCGTTTTTATTTCTTAAAGTTAGATTTTGTCTGATTTACCTCGATAAGAATACTTAACCCTTTGAGTTCCGGACGATGATTTATCGACTTTTGCTGTACAGACGAGAAGAATTACAAAAATCAAACTTCAACATTACAGAAACCGTTTAGATGGGGAGTTTGTTTTTCATTGGGATTGTAGATCATGGAAATTTAGTTTGATAAGCTCGATTCAGCTTCTCAGTTTTGTGACACAATGATGTGCAATAGTCATCATATTACTATGGTCGTAACAACTGTGATGACGATTAATATTTGAAAATTTGGCGTTACTTTTCCTCTGTTTCCATTAGCGGGTACTGCATCGAGTACTTCCAAAGCTGGAGTGCTTTCATTCATTGTCTCTGAACCATGTCTGAAACCTTTTCGATGCTGGTCGGACCAAGATCCGAACCCTGAGCTTCCGAATGACACTACGCATTCTCCCACAAATGCACAATGCCCTATTACAGCCACACAACTGTCAAAACAATATTTTGAATTATTTGAAGAATGGCTAACAAAATGGTGAATTTGGTTACAGAAATAATAGTTAACACACCGCTGTCATATTAAAGCTTAAATTGGGCTCCATTGTTAACCTTTACATTGCACTTATCACGGATGCCTTCGAAATTACATATTTACAACGAAATCAACTTAGTTTGACGTTAAACATGGAGACCACACAGAAGCTTGAATCTGTCAGTTTCCATTGGCTTTTAAGCAGGAAATATGCACTCAGCACTGAAAACAACGTCCTTTCCTAATGCGACTATAGAACCGATATGGATATAATATTGACATTTTAAAAGGAACTATCGGTTGCACTATGGTAAATGCTTAAGTAAACATCCATAAAAGCCTTAAACAAATCGGATGTTAGGTGAGTTGTGGGCAGTAGAGCCATCAGTTGAAAATGCAAAAATGTAATGGAACGGAAAGTAGTAGGAGTGCATAGGTTGAATCTCGAGAAAAAAGTTATTAAGAACTATTTTTTTTTAATTAGACTTACGTAAATAAAAAATACTGCTGTTAACTGTTAAGACTAGCATTCATCATTGCATTCGTGCTGTGAAACTGCTCCTCCTTGAAGAGCAAGCGGTTATTTTTCAGAAGATTGATTTTTAATCATTTTCGCCACCTCAAATGAAATATAAAAATAAACTGGGGTATTTATGTTTTTTTTTCAATTAATTTATTTTGGAGTAATACTTTGTAGCTTATCTTATTACATCGTGATCTAAACTATTGTTTGTGTACTTTCCCATAATAGAATCCTATTCCATTCGACGATTGTCGATACATTCACGGATGTGCAATTCGACCCCAACATTTTGATGAGCGACGCTGAATTAAACGCCCAATCCTAAAGCGCTAATACATTTAATTTAGTTTTTAAAATTTTATAACCAACGATTATATGTTGTTATTGGAACTTGAACCTCTATATTTGCAAAAGTCATTTAGATATTGCAATAACGCATCCAACATATTTCCTTTCTTGATATGACAAGTGGTAACAAAGGTGAACTATATTAAATATTTACAATTTATTGTTTTATTTTCGTTACTTAGGTATCTGGAATTCAAGATGTGGCCTATTACGAAGCAGATGTATCCAGTTGTTTACAACGCAAGATTTCGGATCTTCTTATAAAAGTTTGCAAAACTTGTGTAATAAATAGGAAGCTTTCTTTTAAGCGACTCTTAAGTGCTGGACTAAAGTTTATCACTAGCTCCAATATTAGCATCGAAACTCAGTTACGTATTATCAGCGTAATCAAAGAAGCACTGGCAGGTGGAATCAAATTTCCTTTGGTGTCATTTTGGCTGTTTTTGCAAGAATTCCGTAGTCATACAGGCTCAAAGGCATATAATGAAGCAAAAGAAATTTTCACCATGATAGAAGTGCCAGATATCATTCAAGTTAGCATTTTGAAATCATCTCAAGGATTACTTACACCAGCAGTTGATTCTCGGCATTACTTATATATTCAAGGCCGAGAATGTGCGAAAATCACAAAACCCACTTTTGTTAATAGTAAACGAGCGCGTATTGATGTCGATTCTGACGAAAATGGCCTTGATGATGTTATACACAACATCAGCCAATATGTGAAAAAGCTCGTAAAATTTTCCAGACAAATGAAAGAAAGCGATTTAGTAAAACTAAATAACATTCATGTTGATATCAAAAGGATAACAGACCATTGCAACAATTTAAATAACTAACGTATATGTAAGTATATTTGTAAACTATTGTGTACATTATTCAGAAGTTATTTTTTAAAACTTCATTATCTCTCCAAAAAGGCGATGGTTATGTTCTTGCGCTGTGGGGCATTAAGGTATTTGGCATATAAGCGATTTTCCTCTTCCTCCTCTAGTAAAAGACCTAAGAAGAAACGAGAGTAATCGAATTCAAAAAAATGTGTATATTATTTTTAAAACTCACCGGCAAAACTGGCTGACACGAAACATACTATGCTTCCTACAACAAAAGCGCGCATTGCTACTGATGTAATAACATATCTTCTATTGGGCGCCATGGCACTAAGTGTACCAATAAGTATGCCTAGAGAACTGGGGTTTGCAAAACCACAAATGGCAAACGTTGTTATGGTTATGCTTCGGGCCTGTAAAATATAGATTAATAGCAGTATGTAATTAATAAAATGTGTGATTTGAATTACTTACATCAAGATCTCCGCTTTTGATGTATTCTCCCAAACGTTCATATGCGACAAATTCATTAATGATGGATTTAGTTGCAACAATTTTCGCCACAATATTGCAGTCTTTGTAGGGCACACCCATTGCCCATACCAGTGGGAAGAATAGTTTTGAAAATATCCATTCGAAATCGATGTCATCCAATCCAACCAGAAAACATAACCAATTAACAACAGCATTCAGGAATGCCATAAATGCAACGAAAGCGACGATATTAGCGACAATGCCCGCTACAATAGGAATGGCATTATTGGCGCCATTAGAGGCCGCATCCAGTATTGAAGAGTCTTCTCTGTATTATTATATTTGAAGGAAATAAAATTTACATTATTAAAAAAATAGACAAATAAATAATAAAATTTACAATTTTTCGAAAAATAGCTCTTTTTTGTTTTCATTAAATGATATGTCGATTAGTGTCGTTTAGAATTTGGATGTATATTATATATGTACATATGTATATGGTAAGTTAAAAAAAAGAAATACTAAGTGCTTATTTGGAAAATGGTACGATAGGACTATTATAAAGGGGCACATTATCTGGAAATTTTTCATCTGTGTGTTGGCGGGACTACTAAATTTGTTTTTAGTTTATTGCTAATGCAAAAGTTGGGGCTGTCAACAACAGGTTTTTTGAAGTTTAAAAGAACCCACCACATAAGTAACAAGTTGAATAATAAAACAGAAAATTAGGAAAATTTAAAAAATTAGTATGAAGAGGAATACAGCGAGAGAAAGCTTTGAAGTTCTTGCTACTCCATTCTATTCCTCTTTCGATTATCGAATGTTTGACTCTGAGCGAAAGTTTGGACATGCAATTGCTACGGTGCAAAATAAAATCTGGAAAAATATAATATAAAAATACACAACGTTCATTGATTTTAGAATTTTGTTTTTGCATCTGGTATTTGCTGAACCATTTAAAATTTTATTTGTTTCCTAATTAGAAGAGGTAATGAATCATACATGCATGCAGAAAGTAATTATCGTTACGCGATTTATACGTCACAAAATATATTACTCTTGAAACAGCAGACACACCACAAAATGTGTCGAGAGCGATGCATTATTTTTTTCTAAATATAATTAAAATTTGTAAATACATACATATGTACATACAGATTTTTATTTTTCCACCTAATATGATTCAGAAATTTGACATTTTTTTCGGGCGCAACTCCATTTAAGCGGTTATGACTTGCCACTGATTTAACTTACGATTTCTCTAATTCAATATTTTTTGATGTTGTTTGACTTTCCTCCGTTTCTGGCATGTAAAGTTTTGAAAACGCCAATGCCGCAGGCGCTGCCATAACACTGGAAGTAATTAAATGTGCTGCCGAAGCGCCAAAGCTTAAATATCCCGCCAAAACCGATCCAGAAACTGTAGCGAATCCAGAAGCCATAATGGAATGTAATTCACTGGAGGTGAGCTTCTTGATATATGGCCTGATTAGCATAGGACTCTCTGACATGCCAAGAAATATATTTGCAGCTGAAATAACACTTTCACAAACGGTCGTGCCCAACATTTGCTGTATAAGCCAACCGAGTTTCATAACGATCCGTTGCATTACACCCCAATAATGTAAAATAGAAATAAAGAAACTGAAAAAAAATATCACTGGCAAAATGGCAAAAGCAAATATGCCATCGTCGATAACGGCATTTCCAAAAACGAAACGACTTCCTTCATCACTAAATGATAGAAACGTAGCAACTTTATTGCCGATGCATTCGAAAATTTTCCGCCCAACATCCCATCTAAGACACATAATGCCCAAGATGAACTGGCATGCTATACCAGATATTACAGTTCTCCATTTAATTGCTTTACGGTCATAAGAAAACGCGTATCCGGCTAAGATGAGTACACATGGCGCCAATAGCGATCTTAACTTGTTTCTATCCTCCTTGGTTTGAAAGTACAAAAACACAGCTAGCAGAATAAGTAGAACTAAAAGCATTATACTGGATACAATTCTGTTGCGATAGTTAAATAAATCATGTTTTAAAAAGTTTGTAAATACAATGTTTATCGTTATATTTGTAAAATATTCAAGTTATTATGGTTACCTTGTGCGACTAAATTGCTTCCACCATTTGGCAAATGGGGAAATGTATTTTCTTTGTATGCTTTTGCCTACTGTAGGCTTTATGACTTGGAAATATAAAATTCCTAAGTAAACAAATCCCAACAATAGCACCAACAATCCATAACCATTGCAGAACTGAATGCCGCACAATTTACTCGGATTTAGCGATTCACAGTAGTTATTCTCTAATGACAAATTAAATAAAATTTCTTGTTAAAATGATTTATTCTTAGTTGGCGTAAGCATTGCTTACGCGACTATGGCCATATTTCGCATTCATTCCAAACCCACCGATATCGATGTAGTGATATGTAGCATAGGCGAAGTACCCGCCGACAACGAAATGTACGCCCACTTTTAAGGTATTGCGGGCCACTTTTTTTATTCTTCTTTTTGTATTACTCCTGTTGTGTTCTGCTTTAGATTCCATTGCGTCGATCTGAAATACACAATTAATGTCAGTAGAAGCTCCTTAGCTAGCTTGTGTTGCTTCTTCCTCAAATCAAAGTTTATAAAAACGGTCTGCAAAAAATTCAATTTTTAAAGGTTTTCCTTCATTTGTGCTCTAGTTTATGGTACTAACTAAAACATATTTTTTTAAACTAAGTATGATTCTGTCATGACATCACATTTGCGGATTTATGAATATTGTCCTCAGAAAATTTCAAAATTCTTTTTCAAATGTATAAGAACTTTTCCAAAAAGCGGTCGGTGAGGCACTTCCTATCTTGCCTCTGTTCTTTCTATTAAAGTCTAGTTACTGTCTTATTCATCGGGCCGTGGCTTTTAACCGAGTTTGTCGAGAAAAGTCGGTAAGAATTAGCCAGTAACGAAATAGACGGACTACGATGTCTTACTCTCCCAAGGGGAGAAATTTACTGAGTTTTCACGGAAAAGGATTAAGTAAAAATTCACCGACACATTTTTTGGGTGTTAAATTTCAATCATTTACACAGTTTATTGATTTCTGGTCTGAAGTAATTTCAAAAGTATTATAATAATTTTAACAATTTTAATTTATTAGTGGGTTGCCACAAAATAAGTCGGCGATTTTCCATACAGACGGCATTAACAATTTTTTTTGAACAATTTGTGACTATTTAATTGTACGCGTAATTTTGTTTTTATTTGTTTGTTTGGCGTCAATTTTAATATGGAACCCACAAAGGAAATATTTTACTTTGTTATCTTCTTAAAGGGAATATACAGCTTAATCTGTATGGTGATAAGGCCCCAAAAGAAACACAGTGTCGAAGTTGGTTTGCCAAATTCCGTTCGGAAAATTTTTCACTCTATGGAAATCCACGTTCAGGTCGGCCAAAGGAAGTTGATGATGACTATGTCAAGGCTTCAATCGCATCGGATCGTCATGTAACTGAGCGCGTGGTTGTAGAGAAGTTAAATATACCAAAATCAACCGTTCATAATCATATACAACGTTTCGGACTGGTAAAAAAACTTGATATTTGGGTACCACATGAATTGGAAGAAATACATATTACAAGCCGCTTCAACGTTTGTGATTTGCATCTTAAACGCATTGAATATGGTCCCGTTTTGAAGCAAATCATAACTGAAGATGAATAATGGAATGTTTAAAATAACGTCAATCGAAAACGATCATGGTCCAAACATGATGAAGCGGCACAATCCACTTCACCAAAAGAAGATTATGCTGCCAGTTGGGTGGGATTGGAAGGGTGTGGTACGAGTATATTTTGAGCTGCTTCCAAAGAACCAAACGATTAATTCGGATGTTTACTGTCAACAATTGGACAATTTGAATACATCCATCAAAGAGAAGCGTCCAGAATTGGTTAATCCCAAAGGTGTCATATTCCGCCAGGACAATGCTAGACCTCACAGATCTGAAACTGAGAGAGCGTGGCTGGAAACTGTTGATGCTTCCACCATATAGCCCTCACTATATATTTAGCGATTTTAATTTATTGCTCTGCAATGCTTCGCTTTTGTTAGCAGCTACATATGTCTTTTTCATTGCACAATTACCAAATAATTATTTTACTTACTTCTTGCACCTCGGTATCAACGGCCGTATAATTTTCAACTGCCTAATAAATAGTTAAATTTAATAATAAATATTAATTAATTAAGACACATCTTTGGCTTACATCATCAACCTCAAACGCAGTATTCTTCTGTCCATTCGTTTCCATACTCGCAGCCTAAATGAGAATATTGCTCGGATTAAATTTTGTTAAAAAATATATTCAAATTAATTATTTTGCAATATTGTCGCCATACAACAATTTCGCAAAGAGTACAAGCAAAATTATATTATATTTTAGTTAGGTTGGGTGGCATCGGTTCCATCAGAAGGAAGATTTATTTACGTTTGAGTTTCACACCATACGGATGTTAATTGTTTTCAAATTTTTCGAAGTCGAATTTTTCTAAACATTATTTCCGAACTTTTCGAAGTCGGATTTTTCCAAAAATCGGGGATTTTTAAAATAATACTTTTTAAATATAATACTTTTTTAAATATAAAACCGTAACTACTTTTTCAGTTACCAACAAACAATTAAAACAAAAACATAAAAAAATTCAAAATACATCTTTTCTTTTGAATAGATCTCGGAAATATTCAAAAAGAGAGTTACTTCACGGAAACCTATTTTAAAAAGTTGTCCAAACTATAAACGGTCGACCAACCAAAATCTCTTCTCAAATGCATAACATAGAGACTGATGGAGAAAATAATTTTCTTAGTCATTAAATATTGCAATATATTGCTGATATGAGCTGTGTTCGTTGAGAAATTTCAGTAAAAATTTGCCGGTTACGAAATTCAGAGAGTCTGAGTTTTCACTCAACAGGATTCATTAACAATTAGGCATCAAGTTGGGCAGCAGTTGTTTATTTTGGTGGGTAAATTTGAATTTTTTCATTTATATTTTCCGTATTTAAGTATTTTAATAAAATTGTCAGCAACATGGAATTTTAAATTTATTAATTACATTCAAGGTTTATTGCATTTCAGCAATTATCAAATTCTACATGCTTTATAGCCCTTAATACGATAATGATGCCTATATGCTTCTTCAAATAGCCCTCTAAAAGGGTGAAGTATTATGTAGAAAATAAATTTGGAATTATTTATCCATGATACCCGGCAACATTAACTGAACAGTGTTACAGTTTTTTCGCTTCTGTTAAATAAGTCCAAGCAAGAGTTTTGCTTTTCCTTTTGAAAGCGACTAATAAGTCATTTCGTGCTTCGACGTCGCTTCCGGATGCTTAAGAATGGATTATCCTCATTGCGGCCGTGTAGCAACTTTGCTTCGAATTTGTATTGCGGCTCCTTTGGTCGGCACTGCTTTCTAGTAAATTTCAGAAATCCAAAATCATTCTGGGTTGTACAAGAAATAATGATGATTCCCCTCCACTGCCACCGCATTCTCATTTAATGAGTGCCTTAAGTATTTCATTAAATTTATTTTAACAAATCTTATTGTAATAGTTTATCATTCATATTAAAGAATTAATTTCATTTCAAATAAATTTTTGATAATAATTTGTTGACAATTCAATCATTGATCATAATTTAGCTGTTTTCATACTTGCTAGTTTTTACTGGCTAAAATTTTCTAATCATGAATTTGCAAATTTCTCTCCAAACCAAACGTCAAAGTTGCGCTCTCTCTTTACTAATTTCACTGGGTTTTTCGTTCAACGAACATGATTCAGTAAAACTCAGTAAAAATTGTTAGAGCCCATCTAGTCAACAAACAGATCAATTCTTTTACTTGAAACCAAAATTTTGAAATATATCACAGCTAATATATTATTCTTCTGAAGAATAAAATAAATTCTTAGTGCAAACTTGACAATTACACTACCATCATATTTGGAACGTTCTTGAATATGAATTCAATAGAAGAACAAGCCCTGCGAAAGAGTCAAAACGGTTCAACTCGTTTATGGATTTTTTATTTTCTCCGTGATATTGGTTGTATCAGTAGAAGCGCAATAACGAGGGCTTCAATTTCGTTCCTAGGAACCAAGGTAGAAAGATAAAGAAAAATTAAAAAATTAACTCAAAATATAATACTTTCATGACTCGGTCGCACATTATCATGACTCGGTCGCACATTATTCCCCTTTCTCTGGATTTTTCTATTTACAATGACTGATGGAGCCGACAAAACGAGCTGTCACGACGTCACCATTCCTTACCTTTTCACAAATGCCTCTTATTAAAGTCTTGATTTTCTCTTTTAATAAGCTTCAAATAAGTACATGTGTATCCCTGCATGCACAAGAATGTAAGAAGTAAATACTCTGAACCTTCAACTGGGGTTATTCTAAGTACTTCACAAATGATAATAAAAACACTTCACCTCAAACTTATTCTTGATAATTTTGTACCCCCAACGATTACTGCTTTGAACTTAACTATGTATGGAAGATATTCATATCTACTGATAACGGATGTATGTAGGTGTGTAGGCGGCCAAAATAATTTCCAAATTGTGCAACTCAATTTATTTTATTGTACACGGTTCTGATATATAAGAGGTTTATTCAGTCTCATACGATTATTACGCATAATACAAGAGAGATATGAATATATATATGTATGTATGCACATGCAGGATTCAAAAAAATATCCTGATAGTTAAGTTTCTTTACATTTCAGTAATATATATGGGGCTTCTTTAATCCTAGCAATTATGAACCTTGTTGACTTTAACTCTGAGAGAATGAGGTTAGGCTTGCTTTTGAGTGATCAACCATTTAACGTTTATTAAAAAAGTGTATAAGATAATTGTATACAATTTATCGTTAAAAATGGCATCAAATATGTTAAGAATAACAAACCAATAGTAATTCTGATTACGGCTAAGGGGCCGTGAAAAATATGGGAAAATGTATGAATTTCGAAACTAAGATTCAACCAGCGCTGTGGACGTTTTCTGGCCCATCTAGAGCACAAAGGTGTTCGCTGTACGAACGTGAGCATTAGCCTTTGTTCTAGGGAGCACTCTACAAGCTCAGTGTCCGAAGAAATCCGTTAAAAATACTGGGTGTACATTTAAGGGCCATCGTTTTACAACTGTATGTGCCATTAAAAGCGCATCGCTGAATGAACTAAAGTCTATCGTCGAAAGTCGAACATATGATTTTTAGAAGAGTTTCGGAAGTTGTAAGAAGCTGGCGCAAGTCGTTCAGGGGACACCAACATAGTAAAAGTAGATGAATAAATAAATATGTTGTTGAAAGAATGATAAAATTCGTTGTTAATAGAGCACACCTTCTATATTATATGTTAACCACCTTAATAAGTTTAAAATTTTACCTTTTTATACAAACGAACGTATGTAACATTCAATTTAATTGGAAATACTCATATAAAGGGTTGTAAAAAAGTTAAAATTTAATTTTTTTGGAGTGGATGGCATTTTTCAAGAGCCATAATGTTGTATCATAGGGAAAGCCGTAAAATTTTGTATCATAAGGAAAGCTATAAAATTATATGAATCTAAAGTCTGAAGTGATAAGAACCACTCGCGTCAATTTCAATCTTTAATTTATACCACGCTTTCTTCAAATATGACAAATATGTAAGTACTTACTCATATTTAGACGCATAAGTGACTACAAATGTACAAGCACAATAAATTACGTAGATAATGACCAATTAAAATTCGTGTCATAAAATAGCCCAGTAGCAAATGGTAAGGCTGCATGGCATGTTCCAAAATCGCTGAAAATTAACACGGCTATGTAATCGCTTCCAAATTTCAGATCGGGTACAGGATTTCCCCTGATTTTTGCAGTTTTGCATACGTATCATAATTTTTTGACAAAAGTGTGTATATTTAAACGAATTCGAGTTATTAATGAAACTAATTTTTTATGAAAGACGGAGTGGGCGAACTGGTACTCTCTATCCTGCGATAGAAATGTAGATACCTTAAAAATTCGCTTACTTACACACACTTAAATACTTCTCTTAATTGTACTTGTATTAAATAAAATGAGGCCTTACATTTGCTATGACAGGTATGAAGTCAGGTTTCAAGCACACAGCTTACGCTTTACAGGCTCGCATTCATGATCTTACCACTTGCTGTTGTGATGACTTACATACCCACATATATATGTATATGAATCAAAACTTGTAGACGGGATTCTCAGAAAGTTTTTGCAACTTCTACATTGTTTTTTTTTTATGTAAATTTGACAAGGAACTTCATACTAGAGTAAGCTATTATCGGCCCAGCCTCTTATAAAAAGCAACTCCGGCTGTTAAACCTCATGTCATCCACTCGGCCTCTGTTTGTTTGAACGTTATATAGCTCTGAAAAAATTTCCAAGTGCTTAGGTTATTGGTTTGTTATTTTTCATAACAGATTACAGAGTTAGTTAGCTTTCGTCAGCTAAGCAGCACACACAATCAAATCAAGGATTCAATGAGTAGCTAAAATAAAGCCCCTTTGTTGAAGGGAATAACGTCTCATGTCTATATTCAAACTCAATTAATTAGTATACCGAGGATAGTTTGGTAGTAATTCATTGGCTCACTTGAATAGAGACAATTAATTGTTTATTTGCATTACTGATTAGTAAAGGTACAAGTTTCGTGAAATTCTTTTAGTGTTATTTACTTTTAACTGAAAATTGTTCAAATCTCGAAAAATAGGAAACAAAAAAGTTTGACCGATCAAGAAACAGTTCAAAATGATATATCTGAAGATCATTTGCTACGAAGACTGACTGCGGTCCAAATGCTTTCGACTAAGGTAAGAAAGACTCTTGCGAAGAACTAAAAATGCAGGGCTGTGAGGGCTTTGACTTCAAAGAAAAACCGTCAATTCATAAAGTTTGCATCCAACTGTGCTGTTTATTTGGCTAAAATAAAGGGTTTTCCAGGCATTACAGCTCGTAGATCAATCGAGCTATATTGAAAGTTCAGAATATAAACAAATTACTAATACTACATTTAAATGTACATATCTAACAAACAACGACGCTTCGAAACCGCAAGAGATCTCATGGCTTAGGGCTTCATTACAAATAAAGATAACGGTGAGTGGAAAAGTTGTATGTAGCGACGAGAGTAAATGAAATATTAGCGAAATGGATACAACTCTTATTTTATTGTATGATAAATTTATTTATTTAAGAGAGGTACTTGAGTCGATATCACAGCAGTCTAAATAGTGATATAGTGGGCTGCTTAATATTCTTCTACTATGTCGCATTCAAAGTGAAAATTGTAGATTCAAAAATGACTGGAAGCAGCCACCAAAAAAAATTATGAATAGAGATCCAGGTAATGAGTATAATCATATTTGCTATATTCAGAAAATCTCTAAATGGCTTATTGGCAATTGGCCCTATATACATATATACGTGTATATACATATGTAAAAAACCCTTATGAAAAAGCAAAAGACGTGACGGATGAGTGTGTGTTAGCTAGATAAAACCACATAAATCATTTTAGTAAATTAAGATGAGAGTGAGTGTTCGAACAGTAGATATTTTAGCATGATTTAATTTGCACTGTGGGGTGTAATACGATATATCAGTGGTACCTACAGCCGAAAGAATAGCAGAGTGGGCGTTCATAGGTTCGAACTCTGGTTAGACCAATGTTCAAAACGGAAAAGGAAAATGCTTTTTGTTAGATGTAATGAGCAACTATTATCTGAATATGTGTTAGTATCGGATACACTGACATTCTAATCAGAAGGCGGATGCCTTTAGAAATAACACCTTTTATAAGTTATTAGATGCTGCTCTGGCCAGGTCACGAACTCAAGTATTAACACGCATTGCTATTCACTGCATCTCCACTCAACCACAGCGCTGTTAAGTCAGCGAAGTGAAGTTTATAGAAAACCTTATTATTTTATCCCATATCCTGTCATTCGTAGGGAATTCAGTCAATGGCTTCTAATATTTTTGTGTTCTTGCCAAACTCTATACAATTACAAATTCGCAATAAACTGTTAAAATTGACAACGTTGACTTTCAAATTAGCACAACACTTTTTTTTTTTTTTGATTTTTTAACCAATTCTTGAAACATATTATTAATTATAACCACTGGTAAATGTTAATTTTGCAGCTCCTTGAAGTTTTGCTTGTTTGTAAAGAAGTTTCTGTGGTCCGGTGAAAATTTTAATGTGTAAATGCTAAATGTAAATCTAAAATTTAAACGATTTGCTTACTAATGGAGACTTTTCGATTTTGTACCGTTAGACTTTCCGACCCAATGCACTTTAAGAACTTTTAACTCTAAGCGCCCAGTCTTCAGGTTCCGAAACACGGCCGTTCGGATTGCAGATTAACGCGAACTAAATGTTAGTATCGCAGTGTTGAAGCCCGATACTTGAGTGGTGTAGAACAAGTATATATATGTATATGTATGTATAAAAGATTATTGTGCAAATACAAGATTTATACATACTAAATTAAACATATACGTACACTTGCGTATATGTACTCACTCGTGTATACATACATACATTGTTAACAGCTTTTTAAAAGTGAAATTAGCCAATTTAACGAGTAACTAAAGGTAAGTACATACATACTTACGTGTATGAAGTGTTCACAGAAGCTAAGTCTTAATAACACAAATAATACTCATTATTAAAAAACAGACGAAAATAGAAATTTTATTTATCTCAATTCAAAATGCGTTTTGAGCTTACATTGGCTTTGTGGAGAATAAATGTTTTTCAATGTTTTATATATTTGACATATGCATGTCCGTATGTATTTATATGCATATGTACATACATATAATATTTTTGAAATATTTCTGTCGTTATTCACTTGCTTTAAATTGTTAACTGAACTTCACGCAACGCTGGTTTTGTTAACAAACAGATGCACCAACCAACATTAGGGTGTCTGCTATTTGAAACTTTCTCTTCATTTTACTTAATAAGGTTCCATTTAAGCAGACTTCGCAGTAAGTCCCAACTATACAAACGGAAATTTATTTGATTTGACAATATATTTTTAATTTCTTACCTTCTTGAGTTCGCTGTTAAGCTGTTGCTTAATGTAGATTGGTTTACCTGCAATTCGGTCGTTAGGGGTTTCTCTAGGGTCTAATAAATAAAATGATTGATTTTATAAAAATGTGATTCGATTGTTTTAGAGTAAGCGTAGCTGGTATTTGTAGATATCGTAAATATCTGTACTCGTACTTGTATGCAGGTACACGCAAACTCCTTTAACGACTTCCTCTCACCGTTATTTGTTTTGTATCAAAAAATTATCTCCGGAACCCAAGAAGAAGGATAAATCCACTCACAGTTAAGCAGAATATGGCTATATAATTGAAATGACTGTTCACACTGTGATCTCGTATCGCAATTCTTAAAACAATGGTTAAATTAGTGAATTTTTATAACTTTCTAACGTACGTATGTTTGTACATTTGAATGATAATAAAAAAAATTTCATGCTCAATAAAAGTTTCAGGCGTAAAAGTGTAGGTTAAGTATCTGAAGTTTAGGAATTATTATTAATACACTACCGCAAGCAATAAAGGGAACAAAAAACATTTGATCTTTATAAGCTATGTACCGGAGAAAAATGATTGTATTGAGATCGCAAAAAAGCAGTTTGAAGCTTTATGATTATAGTTTTCATATTTTTCGGTGTACGATTTTAAGGGTTACCGTTACTGAGTTTGAAAATATGTTTTTTTTTTTAATTTGAGATAAAAAGGATTTGTTCAAAATTGTTTTGCTTCTTTTTTGCTTAACCTCCTATCAGCTTCCTGTATATTTCTAACCCAAAGCGGATGATGGACTAACTGGAATTTTGGTAAATTTCTTAACCTTTGACGAGTGATGTAAGATTTTGATTTTGATTTTCTTGAAACTTTTACTATCTTCGTAATTCTCTATATTACTGCTTAAACTCCTAAAAGTTTTTGGAAACTTTAATATTTTACGATTTTTGTCATACCTAGAGCGTACTTTTAATTATTTTTCTTTACCAGAAGTCGTTTGGCTGGAGGCTCTCGTCTAAGAAGGGTAAACGTGTCGAGATGTTTTCAATCGGTTCAGTATATGTTCATCGGTCCTGTATCTGGAAAAACTAAAAAAAAAAATTAAGTCAAAAATTGTCTGGATGTAAGTTCAATGGTGAAACAAGTTTCAAAGGTATTTTGAATTCGCTATTATTATGGCGATTGGAGTTATAAAATCAGAGATATAAAATCTTCTCCTGTAATTTTTTCTGAAATTTCGACCAAACCGTTTAGGAAAATTATTTATTCTAATGATCTGTTGATGTGAAAGGTTTTAGAGGTACATCGGGTTATAAAAATTCGTACTCACATTAGTTTCCCCATCAATGTTTTCAAAAATGTGGCCGATTTTTTACATTGAGGTAAATGTGAATTTTTTCTTTTTACGATGAAATTAAAAAAATAATTGTGGGAAATTTATTCCAGATTCCGGAAATGGCGTATAAATTATACATTATACAATATAATTGTCAACCGAACTCCTCCTCCAATTTGTGGAATGCGTCTTTATGTTTTTACAACATTTTATTTTTTTTTATGGGGAGCCTTTATGCACTCGGAGGGGTTGCCATTTCCTGCCGAGGAGCGACTGTAATGGGAAAATTTAACTTTATTTTTTTATTTCAATTAATTTTCTATAGATTTTTTATGGATGTTGGTCGTGTTAGGAGTTGAACCTTGGCCTTCCGAATGACAGTACGCAATACTAATCACTCGATCGGATAAATTACAAAAAAAAAAATTAAACGTATTTAAGCAGGCTATCAAGTTTTAATCATACCTAGACTGTAATTAAAAGCTGAAAGCTACAGCGCTGACGCTTTACTTCTTACATCCTCATACGATAATTTTTCAAAGGCATACAGCGCTTCAAAAATCACTAACAAATTGTGGTCTGCTCCCTGAATTGTTTGTTGTAGTGTATATTACTTGAAACTGCAATAAAAACATTAAAAACATTTGAAAGTTTTATAGGTAAAGCAGTTACCAGCATTCTGAACAATTTAACAATTATTTGCACTTTAAAAAGCTTCTGAATGAGAGCCAAGCTCGGCTAGTTGGCGATATAATCCGTTCTCACTAGGTACCTCAATTTATCCTCACTGAGAACAGCTGTCATTCACCGATCTATTATCCTGAGCTTTACTTACATATGTCCATAAAGGGTGATTTTTTTAGCTACTACCTCGTTTCGTGTTTTGTTTCACTGTCAAACATCTTCAGTTTGGTGTAGAATTTAACCATGAATCGTCTTACAAACGAACAACACTTGTAAATTATTCAACTTTATTATCAAAATGCGTTCTCAGTGTAAAAACAGAATTGTCGGTTTTGGAGTGAAGATCAGCCAGAAAAATTGGAAGAGCTATTGGACCGTACTTCTACAAATATGACGCGCATCGTAACGTAACTGTGAGTAGTGAGCGGTACCAAGAGATGATATCAAACTTTTTGCTCAAAATGCAAGAGCTTAATTTGCATGACATATGGCTTCAACAAGACGATGCCACATGCCACACAGCACGCGTAACAATGGATTTATTGAGAGGCGGTGAACATTTTATTTCACGTCCGATTTCCACCTAGATCGTGCGATTTAACGTCTTTAGACTATTTTTTGTGGGGCTATATTAAATTTAATGTCTATACAGACAAACCCGCTTCAATTGACGCATTGGAGGACAATATTGAAGCATTTCTTCATGAGACACCGATCGAAATTTTGGAAAGAGTAAGCCAAAGTTGTACTAAGCGGATGAGCCATTTGAGACACAGTCGCGGTCAACATTTGTGTGAAATAATCTTCACACATTAAATTATATGAACCGTACTATCGATTCATATAAAGATTTCATGCATTTTTCTGAATTTTATGTGTTTTTTTTTAAACTCTGCTACAGCTCTTAAAAAATCACCCTTTATGTATGTCCAGGTTTGATGGAGAGTATGATAAACAATATAAATCGTTTATACATACAACATGCATTTGTACATAGATAACCCTAAGATAACCCAAATCAAATTTTGAATAGTTTAAAATCAATTAGTTCAAGAGAAATTCATTCCGACCGAATTAACCACTTAAGAAAGTTTACGATTGCTCACTTGAAATGTAGAGAGTTTTACAAGCTTTCAAGAGATAAGTAAAAATATAAAATTTAATAATGTTGGTCATTTTAAAGATTGCTACTTTACTTGGGACGACCGCTGTAGTGTATTCGGTAACGGTGCGTGTTAATATGGAAAGGGTTAAAAGATCAAGCTCGGAGCAGACCATAATCAAAAGTTATAATAAAATAGGTTTAGTGTTTTAATCCGAAAGGGGCTTGGCTGGAAATGAAGTGGGAGTATTTATGTTTTGCAAATAAAAACTTACCGCGAAAAATCGTCAGCCATTCGATGACTTCTTATGAGTATGTACATATAGGATTGAAAAAAAATTGAAGAACCGCAATTGCAGACTTTATTTGCTCTATTGTTTTTTAGACACTGCTCTGTTTTGCTCGAGCTGCTCTAAGACTAAATAAACTTTTCTCTTTAGTTTAAGTTGGTGCCAAAAAGCTTCGTTTCGTAGCATTATGAGTACTAACGTAATACCATACCCACCTCTCTAACACTTAAGGTCATGAGAAATGGGTTCCTGCAAGGATAGCATTATTCAAATGTCCTGAGAGGCATGCAGACTCAAGAAGAACCCGAGGCATATTACTTTTCTTCTAGTTTACTGGCCTAGACACCGCTCACGCGAGTATAGCCGAATTTATAACATTACGCCATTTCTTTCTATTTTTCTCTGTTTGGCGCCAATTGGAGATACCAAGTTCAGCCAGGTCCTTCTCAATCTGGTCTTTCCTTTCCTCTGCTTCCACTGGCGGGTACTGCATCGAAAACTTTCTATGCTGGAGTATTCGTATCCATCTGTCTCACATCACCTAGCCAGCGTAGCCGCTGCTTTTATGTAGTCGTATAACCCGCACAGCTCATCATTCCATCGGCTCCGTTATTCGCCGTTACTAACTCATAGAGTACCGTAAATCTTACGCAAAACCTATCCCCCGAAAACTGCTTATACCGACTCATCAGATCTTAACATGTTGTTATGCGGCGACATTGAAATTGTTTAGCGAGTCAAGAAGCAGCGGCTACGATGGCTAGGTTATGTGGACCGGATGGATACGAATACTCCAGCCTTGAAAGTTTTCGATGCAGTACCCGCCGGTGGAAGCAGAGGAAGAGGCACTGCGTTGAAAAGACCAGGTAGAGAAGGACCTGCGTGTAGTTGGTATTTCCAATTGGCACCAAACACCATAAGGAAGAAACGAATTTTGTTAACTCGGCTATAATCGTGTGAGCGGTGTATACGCCAGTAAAGTAAGTAAGTAAGTATTCACACCGTTGATCATTTTATATTACACACATTCTTCGACGTCTTCCGAGTAGCATCCGTACACGAGCAAGAAAAACTCTTGCCTGCTGATAGGTTCACATAAAAATCGAATAACAGTGTTAAGAGGTTTCGGGAGTGGAAATTATGTTACCACTCGCGAGACTAATGTGATGCTAAATATTGGGTATGAAAAGTTTGAATCGGACTAAGTGTTAATGACAAACTAATATGTGAAAATATGCTCCTAGGAAAAGACGTTATGTGTAGTGCTACTTCTCGCTAAATAATTGATAACGAAGAATCTCGTTCCAGACGGGTTAGATGAATATCAAAATAAACAATTCGCTAATATTTTGAAAAAGTACAGTTGAAACCTTAACGAATACATTTTCCAAATAATATCCGATTTATTAGAAAATGAGTCACCACATTCATTTCCCGTGGTTTTAGCAGAAAAAAAAGAATAAAGAACATAGATTATCGTTGTCTCAATTAAAATTCGGTAAATTCGCGTGAATTTGGTTTTCACTATACTTAATCTTCGCATGGGTTCTTCAAAACAGTACACCGCTTTTGTAACGGCAGATTAATGCGCCCGCTACTTTTCAATGTATTATGATCCAAATCACTTCTAAAACAAACTCAGATGAATTGATGACTTATCATTCCTAAGTAAATTAATCACCGAAGGACTTCTCCGATTAGAAAGATTTTTCAACCTATCAGACCTATTCTCACTGTTACCGGTAAAGTAAATTTTGTTACTTTTCTTTAACATCAGAAATTGAATTTGGTATTCTGGCGAACTGGTCACAATGTTTGAAAAAACTGGGGCAGCACTGCTTATTTCGTCCATATCAAATTACATTTTCCAGTTGATAGAGTAAAAAGAAAAATATTCACATCGAAATAGAATACGGTGCACAAAAAAATTAAAAAGTTTTATGAAATCATAAATATTTGAAACTAATTATGGAAAATATGCCTGGACAACAAAAAAAGCTGAATGAAAACGTTATCTTTTAAATTAAAGAGCTATTTTTTGTCTCGAAAACTTCTTAAAATACGGCTTTTAGCACTTTTTTGTTCATTTTCAATGAATTCCAGGCCTAAAATATGCCTACCCATCTTGGTTTTTTTTTTCTCAAACTTACAACACAAAATTAAACAGCAGTTATTTTTTTACCTCCTATATCGCTGGTAACAAAATTTACCGGGTAACAGTGAGCTCAGAATACGAAATGGTAACAAAATTTACTGAATAGTAAATTATAATACCTAGGTAAATTTTGTTACCTCGACAGAAAAGGCCTGCAAGAAGCCGGACTGACACTGTTTACCAATAACTATAAGTTCCTGACAACGAGTATTGATTATCCTGGACATTGAACAAACGAACACGGTATGACACCAGTATCGCAAAAAGTAGCGGCTATTGAAATTTCTCCGTAACCTACCAACGTAACTGAGGTAAGACGTTCTTTAGGTCTAACAGGTTTCTTCATAAAATTTATGAAGGACTGCTCCATCTTATCGAAACCTATATTAATGTTACTAGCCAAAGATAATCTGAATAGGCTTATTTGGGGTCCTGACCAACAACAGTCATTTACACCCTTATAAATATCATAACGATTTAACCAGTACTCGTTTTGTTTGATTACAAAACTGAGCACGAGGTCTACACCGACGCTAGAAGCATTGGTTTAGCAGATGTTCCATAGCAGCCTACTGATGGTGGTGAACTCCGCCTTGTTAACTGTTACAGACACCATTGCACAAACATCGGCAGCAGGTACCACAGTTTTACGAGCTTGAAGTTTTGACTGCAGAGAAAACCCTGAAATCATTGATATTAAAAAGGTACCGTAAAATAACCAAACGAAGTTTCCATGAAAATTGATTACAAAACACACAATCACCGATGAAACCGTGAGTAAACGGACGGTATGAAATTTTTAGTACCCAAAGCTGTACGTTGGGGTGTCGTCCAGTTTTGCCACGATCAGCCTGGGCATACTGCGGTTGAGAATACTTTAGAACGTATTAACCAAACGTATTGGTTTCCAGAGATCAGGAGATTCATAAAAGGTTAAATAGGTGCTTGCATAAAGTGTTGCTACCAAACGTTTGCACTCCCCGTGAACAAATGAACAATTAATAAACCTAGCGCGCCAATCAAAGTATTTTAAAATTTCTACGAACTACTACTAAAAATCTCCCGCTGCAGAAGAACATCATCAAGCTGTGGTTAACATTTCCTCCGAGCGTGGAAAGTGGAAACAACGTTTCGACCGATGTCATAAAGAATCGAAAATCTACACCGAAGGAGATCTTGGTGTGATCAAAAATGAGACTGTGTCCACAGGCGAGTCCAGAAAACTTAAATTTAAACATCGAGGATCTTTCATCATTGAAAAAGGGCTGGGCCAGGCCATCAAGTAACTACCAAGATATGCTGTTCCGTTTACGCCTCTGACAAGATAAAGCCTTGGTGCACAAATAGTACCGGACTCGAATCATTCCTATTACAAAATGCGTATAAGCAAACGCGAATAGACGTATACGTGTCACATACGTATATATGTATATGATAAAAACTGGTCCAGCCTGATCGGAAAAAGATCTGATACTGCTAAGTCAGGGTTATATGGTGGATATGGCATGCGTGCCTAATTGATCACTGTTGTGATTTGAAGGGTTATCATTGAGATGAACCGATAAATATTAAATTTAAAGAATACTATATCCTTACGTATGAAGCACAATATTCTTTTGGTAAAAATTGGCTTATATGTCTATTGTGAGAAATCATTTTGCTCGGTCCTTGGTCGTTTTCGGACTTCCTCATTTAAACAAAATAATAATTTATTTATCTCCCGATATGACGAGCTATTACTATCACCTTTATTTCCACTTTAAGCATCTTTCACATTAAAATTATCAGAACCGAATCGAGAAAAATGAAATGTAGTTTGACCGAATAATCGAAGGTAATATGTCTATTAGTGAGCGAGGGCAATAAGAACAAGCAATGGGCCGCGCTCTCGCGTATATGGCGACTAGTTTTCGACATTTTCCAAAAAAGCGGCGCAATTAGTGATCTTAAAAAATGTGTTTGGGAATATTTATTGTTTCTCTAACATCGAATTTAGCAGACAATGGCAGGGTAAGTTGTACCCACAGGTTGAGACAGAGAACATTGTTATAATAAAACAATAAGAAAATGTTCTGCTTCACATTTATTTGTAATTTTTAAGTTTTGCTCAAGTTATGCACAGTTAAATATCAATTAATTAATTATTATTATTTCATATACACGTAACACGTTGTATCATATGTAAGTAGTTAAGTCATGGACTTAAAGTTTATGGAAAGGTAACGTGCTTTTATATAAGATTAGATGTATCATATTGAAAAACGGGTACAACTCCAGCTCTTACATATATAAGCCTTAAAATTACATTCATTTTTTTGTCAATTTTTTTTTTGGAAATAGCGATCAGTAAATATGATGAGGATGATTCTTAAATATTTACGCGTGATATTCATTTATTTTGCTTTTTACCTTAAATACCTTCTAAAAGTAAAACTAAACTATCTTAATTTCAAATGAATAAAACTTATTTTAGACATACAAAATGTAAATCAAAGCTACATAAATCACAGTCTCTAAAAAAGGAATATTAACTTATATCTTACTAATAAGCAATAGTAGAAACATTCACATAAGCGGACTTGCGAACTGTCACAATCAAACTTGAGGATGCGCCATGTAAAAGAAAACCCTACAGTTTCAAGTCTTTGAAGAGAATAAACTAATAAAAATTACAACTTTTTGAACCAAATTAAAATTTGCGATTTAGTAATGTAGATTATATATAAAGGAGTTCGTAGCATCGTTTTTTTATTATTTAATACATTGAAGTGTTTCACTTGTTCATGCAGACGAATGTCAACATTGGGGGGATGTAACCAAGCAAATACGAGTATGCCAACTGCGCGCTCAACTTTTGTTATCGCTGCGTTGTATGAGTATGTAAAGGAAAGAAAACAGCTGATTTCTGCTTTGGCACTAGGGGTATAAGCTTTGCCCACTTTTGTGTGTTACACGGCAATCAGTCACAGGTCACGGACAACTTGGTGATTGTTTCTACTATCAGGCTTTACGTACAAGTGTGTAATGTACAATATATATGCATGTATGTGAGTACGTATATTGGAGAAAATACATATCTTCTGTTGAATGCTGTATGGAGTAAGTCCTTCTGATCCTGAAGTTGTAATTTTCACGCCATGAGTCTTACGTAACTCAATTGCCCTATTTTTGTGTATTTTATGCGTGTATGAACTGTACGAGTATTGTATTTGAATGCTTTGCTACTACAATTACTTATTAATGCATCGATGTATATATACATTTATGTATATAAGATTGTATGTATGTAAGTATGTATGTACGTATGTATAGTATAATAAATTCTAGTTAAGTTATCCGGCCGTTAAACAATTGAGAAAGTTTCTACGATCTCCACACAAATTCGAATCGTTGGTGTGCGTGTTGAATGCAATGTTTTAAGCGCTTGCGGTGATTGAAGTAAATATTCCTATAAGGAGTTTATATTTTAGTACATTTTCACTGTATCGGCGAAGCTTTTGTAGAATATATAGGATGCGATTGCGTTTGCTGTTGCCGGTTTTTATGAGCACGATGATTGGCTCGGTGACTGTTGGGTCCATTATGTATTTTAATGCGTTGACTTTCCTTCTCGGTATGAATCTTCCGTTTGTTTTCCTTTTCATCCTCAGCGTGGAGGTAACGCTTACTGTGGCGGTGGTTACGATTGTGATGGGTGCGATGCAAATAGTGATGAGTAATGTAATTCTCGGATTGACGCTTTTTTGCACTGTGTGTAGGATCCGTTTCTGCGGCACCTGCTTCCAAATCAAGTATATTATTAGCCGTTGGTGTCATCTCCGTGGTGCTGTTCTGCAAATCAGTGAGTAAAATTTCGGTAAAGGCTTTCGAGTGATTAAATAATTGGCGTCGTAGATTATTCCGAAGCTTGTCATGAACTTCTTTTTTGATATTTTTTGGTGCAAATGAAGCATTGCCTACTAACTTCACATCTAATCTTGGATATCTGCAAAAGTGTGTGAAAATCATTTTATTCATATATGAATACATGTGGGTATACACATATGTACAAATAAACAGAATGGAATTATTTAAATAAGCCAGTTGGAGGAAAAACATTAATTGGCGCGTTCAAAAATAGTTTTGTCTTATGAAAAGTCCGTCTTAATGAATTTCCTGCAAACGGAGAGAATTTCAATGCCTACTCGGGCTGATGAATTTTTATAGGAACCTATGGGTTCCATTGTGAGGAAGGTAAAGGGTAGAAGGCATTGGAATTCTCCGTCCATGATCAAAGCAAAATTATCTACCAAAATTCACAAACAAGCTGTCGGGTCTACCTACCAGTCTCACGAAATATGTAAAATAGGAACAGTTGAAAATAATTGGCGCTCTATATCTGCTGTGGTACTTTTTGATCGGGTGGAGGGACCCACAGATACAAGTGCTCTCTGCGTTCTAAAGCAGCCAGGTATCGGCTCGTCGGATATTGCAGTTTTATATTTATATTGAGCAACCGTTTAGCATTGAATAATTTCTGTTAAAAATCATATCGCCAGATTTTAGATGCTTCCGCTTTTATTTAACTACACATATAATGAAAATAAATGAATAAAACACTACCTAGTCGTAGTTACGTGAAATAGGGGAATTTTTTGGACTTGGAGGATCTAATGTTGCGATTAAGTCGAAGTTAGATCTTTCGTGCTTACCTTGGCACTTCTTGCGCTGCAAAAGCAGACATAGACGTGTGCGGTCCGTAGTAATTCCACGGGATTGCAAATTCTGAAAGGGAAAAGTAAGAAAAAAACACATTATTTATAACAGCTGCCTGTTTGGTGTGAGGTGCAGTTAAAGCTAAAAAGCACATTTATGAAGCTCAAATATAGTTTTACAAATTACAACAGCAAAACATTGTTTTTTTTTATCATATCTGAGGAGAGCAGTTTAAAGTATACAATTTTAATATAAATACATGCAATTTTTAGCTGATGTTTGCTGGCAGACTATATTCCTAAAGCGATACAAATGCATACATACGCACATATATTTTATACTTGACATGCGGCACTGACCGTCCGGACAACTACTTATAATAAAGCTTTCTATAAGCTCATAAAGTTTCAAAAAAAAGCTTAAAAAATTGTTTAATAACAAAAAAAGAGTACATAATTATTTATGGCTAGTTGAGTTTTTCAAAATCTTCATTCATATTTGATCGAAAAAAAGATAGCTTAGAAGCCTCTCTATCGATCTGAAAGCAAGAAAAGCAACAGATATCGCAAGGGGCTGCACAAAAACTATATTTTGTTATATGAGAGCTGCGGCGGCTGTGAAGAGTTGGTGTCAGTGCGTGCTAATATGTAGACGGTCATGGGCAAGAACCCTATCTATATAAATATTCCAAATTATGGAAAAGAAGGGATAGAAATAGAAGAGGCCTTTATAGGAATAATATTGTTATATGAAATAAGGTCAATCATTTGTTTTGCGAAACATAAACTCCTGTTTGTTTTCTGCAATTTCTCTTATATCTACCTCACATTGACGTGCTTGCTTTTTACCCCTAGTTCTTTAATATTTCTACATAGATTTGCGTATTTAATGGACACCAAAATATATTTTGTTTGCAATTGTATTCGATTTTGTTTCGTCAAGATGATGTGTGCTTGATCTTGGTTGTTTTTGCCATATTTGCGGTAAATATGCATTTGTCACGACAACCCATGGGTTCCTCATAAAGTATGCTACAAATGTATGGTATGCCTACGGCTATGAATCAGTAGAAAAGGAGATGCATTTATGATCGAAACTCCGATGATTTCTCACGAACATTGGTATAATGAAACAGATTGATTGATTGATTGATTGGTTAACTGAAATCGAATCTTAAGCTTGGCATTCATTTGTGTTTGCAATGAGTAATTTTCCAGCAGAAAGAAATCTGATAACCATGTAGGCTTATTGAATGCATGGTATGGAGCTTGTTAAAGCTTGGTGCGACATGAGTGTAGAAATTCACTTCCTGTAATCAAATTAAATCGATTTCAATAATATCTATGATAATTTAGTGAGGGGCTAGGAGAACGTATCACCAAGATTTTCAGAAAGGGCGGCGGCACTCACATATAATCGCAGACTACTGCTGGAGTTTGCGACTATAAACTTTTTCCGTATTTCAAAGTTGTATCTTGAATATACTCAGCTTGGTTTGCCATTTTATAGTGAACAGACTTAAACCGGCACAACGTTTGTAAATAGAGTAAATTTTTTAGCAATAATAGTCCGATTCGCGCGGCGCATTGAATGCTTTCCCAAAAAAATCCACATTCAGTGATGAAGTCAATTTGTGATTGAATGTCTACGTTAGGACCAAAACTGCCGTATTTGGAGCGATGATAATCCACAAGCCATTGTTGAGGTGTCATTAATTCTCATAAGGTCTCTATTTGGTGTGCTCTGTAGGCAGAGGGAGTCATTGCTCCATATATCTTAATGACTTTTTCGTTCCTGAAATATATGGACGATATTTTGTTCCAACAAGACGTGCCTGTCACACAGCCAATGAACAATTTTCTCACGCCGTGTGATATAAAGCCGCGCTATTGCTGTAATGTGGCCCCAATTGCTACGAAAAGTGGTCGGAAATTATGTCTCATGGCTGGAATTTGGCGCGCTTGCCGCGCTAGTAACTCGCCCGAAATGATTTCGCTGAAAATCGGTTCAGCGGTTACAAAGCGCCAATTATACATTATACTTTTCTGCTCTGGAATTTGTTTACTAGCACCGACCGTAAATGCACTTTTTACTGTCAAAAACTGACCGATACGTGCTTATGAAAATGAGATATAACAATTTCGTCCGTTCGAGGAGAAGAGTTTTTTCTCGGAAACAGCCCCGTTTTGACCGTTTTACATCCCAAAATCTGGTTTATCTAAAGGAATCTTAAATCAGAATCGGACTGATGACAGATGGAAATCTTTCCAATGAAAAGTTATTTTGACGGACCTGTGCAGGTGCACATACATTAATACATATGCATACATATGTACATACAGTAAGCAACCACATTTGCTTGAGCTGGCTTACACTGGCTTTATTTTCACATCATACAACGTGTAGATTTTCCTAGTTCTGTTACCTAACTTTTCGGCAATTTCATTCTCATAAGTTTAATGCAACAACAAAACATGCTAATTCAACAAATTATTATTTTTTTTAATATGTACCGGCAAAGCTTACAAAAACACGAGCACAAGTTTTCATACGCGATTAGTTAAAAAAAACTTCCTTAATAATAAAAGCCAGCGAAAATTAGTAAAAAAAAACTAAGCAAAACACAGACACAAAATACATACATACATATTTAATTATGCGCACAATATTCTTGACATCTTTACATACTGTTTTCTTACCGAGTCAAATTTCATATATGTAAGAATATACGAGTACTCGCACATACATATACTTGGAAGTATTGAAATAATAAATATTTTTTGTTGTTTTATGGGTAAGTTAAGCTATTACGATGGAATCCAGAATGAAATATGAAATGCGTATAACTTGAAAATTTAGGTGATTGGCGAAATAATTTGCAATCATTCTGAGCGGAGAACCGCGATAATAACATTTTGCTTTTTCAATTTTAAGTTATTATTTTTCAATTGCTATGGTTTGAGTACCATAATAAGGCAATGAAGAAACACAAGTGGTATTTGAATTCAGTTCCATGTTTCAAAATAAAAATGTTAAATAAGCTTGGCAAACACAACACATACCTGCCTGATCACATTTTGGTGGATTGAAAAACAATCCGGGCTTGAGAGGATTCTCCTCCTCGTCGTGAACTTCGATCATCAGCCATCCAATTTGAATCGGTTGTTGGCGAGTTTGAAGTTGCTGCTGTCGTTCAACACTCTCCCATATGTAAATGGCACGTTTGATGTCAATCTCCACCCATCCAGTTTTCGAAATATTCATCATTGTTGTGTTGCAAATGTGCTTCTTCCGCTCTATAATTATAAAACATGACGGAAAGGAGATTTTATTGTACATGGTCGTACTGTAAGAGGAATATTTGCTACTTTAATTAATTCATCATGTCACAAGAAGACGACCGTGTTTAAAAATTGGGGCTTGATTTTATTAGAGTATTTAGCTGTGATAATAAATGAATGTTCAAATTCTTTTAATTTTCTCGGAACTATGAAAAGATTAAGTTTCTGACTATGTGAGCCAATGATAATATTGCATTTCTTTATCTTTCGCTTTGATGACATAAACAAAATCTTTTGCATGACCTTTGTAGAGAATGGAGTGGTAGAAAAATGGTTCGACCGACATCCAAAATTTTAGGATTATATTTTCTTTAATTTCTACCGCCCCTCGTAGTGGTCGTCACACTCTCCGAATTTATTTTTTATAAGCTTCTCATAAGCTCTTTATAAAAATCAATTTGCTGTTCGAAGGCTGCTTGGAATAAAACAACAACAACTATGCAATTTGTTGGAAAAAATCAGGACGCATACCACAAATTGAAGAAATATAGACAGGCCTTAATGTCTGCGTCTGGTCTTGTTGTGACATATCGAGGGACGTACAAATTAATTTTAGCCGTCTCCGAACGATCAATGGATTTTTATGAGAGCAATTTATGTCATGTCAGAAATACACAACAAGCATTTTAAAAGCTTACTATTTTTGATATCATATAATTTATGATAATTGTGTTACCAATATATGTATATGTGTATATAGATATGTACATTTGTATTAACATACTAAAATACCTCGTTTGTTTCTGCGCATTTGACGTACAATGGAAACGGTGACACGTATTTGCGGAGTTAGCTGTAAAGGAGTTTAGCAAATTTTAGTTAAATTTCAAGATTGTTTTTACGGCATTAGAAAGTTAGATACCGTTATGGGGTCTCCACAACTTTTTGATCCTTTATCTTCATCGCTTTTCGATTCATTAGGGTCGTCTGTGTTGTTTGGGTTCACTTTATATAGACGAAGGATGGCACTGTCTAGATTTAAATTGTCACGTTTCGGCTCAAATAGGCTATCGGAGAAACGTATTGTTACATTGTTATCATGCATCCAAGAGCTTTCGGTGGATTCCGAATTACATATGGGATATGCTGCTATTTCGTGCAAAGGATGACCTTGATTTTCATCGGAATTACTTGCTTGGAAAGCCGATTGAAGACGGTTCTTTATATCATTGATTCTGGAAAATGAAAATATAATTGGTCATAACATAATTTTTATATAAATATAAACTACTCATATCCTATTAAATAGATACGTCTGTATATATGTAATCACTATGGCGCTCCTAAAAGTTTACTTTAATAAACCGCAAGCCTCGCTGGTATGTACACAAATATTCGCGTATTCTATAAATATTTTATTGTAGAAATACTCCTTCTTATTTCATAGAACAATGTTATGTAGGAAAATTTATGATCAAAGTGAGCCTCGACCGATTGATGCTCTTAAAACTGGTTATATGGCACAGAAGAAGAAGTTGTTATGGGGAAAATATATTTCCAAGTTCGTTAGATTGTTGTTTATTATTAGTATAAATTTGGCACGTATAATTAAAATTTCCTACATCCATTGTCCCAACTGCCGGCAAACTACTTTAGAGACAAATTAAGGCTACGTTGCCATCCATAAGCAATCAAGAACGTGCACCAAAGGAACGCAAGGTAGTTTTATTAGACAACAAGATCATGCCCAAAGCTTGTCCACAGAATGCGTTATTCACATCGATCGAACTTAATTCTGATTTGAAGCCGAAACAAGTGCATTTGGCCAATAGTGAACGGATTGGAATGTGGCTCTTTCTGTTGATCTATCTTTCCTGGTTAATTCGGGCATGAATGATGGATAGTATTTACTATATTCGCATGCGTCTAAATGCAGGCAAAGAGTTTTGTGAAATTTTAAACGTTACGCAAACTATTACGTAATATACTCATTTATGTAGTAAAAGTTAATAATTACATGAATAATTACCAACAGTGTGCCAACTATTTGATCCCATACCATTTCCAAATACTATACTTTGTTCCATCTTTGTTAAGTTAAAATAAACTTTTGAACAAGAAAGATAAGTTCACTTAAAAGCTCTATGAAATGTCATATAGTAAGTGCGGAATAGTTGGAAATAACCGTTACTTTTCAGAGAATATTTAAAAATGTAGATGAAGGCATGTGATCAATAAGTTGACTTTGTAAAGTAGAGAAATTTTAGTCGACGTAGTAATGCTCTGCTGTACAAGTTTTTCTTTTTATTCTACAATTAATTGTGGAGAAATCGTTAGAATAAAGTTTTTAGTAAAACGTCAGGATTTTCTACTATTTTTCTTTGTTATTTTCTGAGCAGCATAGATGAAAAAACAAAATGCAAAAAAATTAGAAGAAATCAAAAGCCTTATTCTGGTGTTTCTGTGCGTGTGGTTTTAAAAATAATATGGTCAATAAGCTCTTTAGCAAAAAAAAAAAAGACCAGCTTGAACGAAGGCCACAGTGAAAAGACCCTTGGTTCGGCAGGTAAAGTTTGGTGTGTATGAAAAAGCGGGCCAAATTAGGTGTGGTCTCTTCCATGGTGATGGAATAAATATAACAAAGGAAGTTATCAGAATAAAATAGGAGAAAAACGGATTGCACGGACGTGTCAAATTAAAAAAACTATTCCTGACGAATTGACACTGTGAAGTGAGGCTCCAATTTGCAAAAATATATAAAACCTACACCCTGTATGACTGGATCTGAGTCAAATAGTCAGACGAAACAGAAATAACCTACCTGGGAAAAGATGAACGGCAATAGATTTAGAGAGCCTTTGATTAGTCGCATTGTTCAACCAACGTTGAAATATGGAGAAGATAATTTAATGTTATGGGGTTGCATGAGACAGCAGGGGGTTGGAGAGTGTGAAAGGGTTACCGTGCGATATAGGTATAAGTTTGTATTTGAAATAAAATTGGAGTGCCATTACATTAATTAAAATCTTTTCCTGATACCACCCAGGAGTGATCAAATAGTGGAAAAACTGTTCATTCCAAGGAAACACCAGAATAGTTTCTGTAATGAAAGTAAGTATATATGTAGTATGTACATATATACCGAAGATGTAATACAATAATTAGATAACTCTTGAAAAATTGAGAAAATATATGTATGTATGTACATTTATGAATGAATGAACACAATTCATGCGTGATACCTACTAGATCCCATTTAAAACTTTAATCAGTGTAATTACCCTGACAGCTTTCAACAGAACAACTAACCCCGGAGTGAATGCCGAGGCGATACATTAAGAATTAAAATTAGTTAAAAGGATGCGACGATCGAGAAGGCTATTTTTAGGATGAGCTACAAAGGGACTTGTTAGAAAGTAAATGTTTCATTTAGAGGTTAAAAGTCAATATACAAGATCCGTAATGCGTCCCTAGTTATATTTACCCTTGAAAATCAGTATAAGGCAAATATATACTTAAAATGGGATAAAAACCTCTTTTGTGCCCGCTCCACACGACTTATGCAACTTGCATCCTATATGTACATACGAGTGTGTGCATGTACCTATGTACATATGTATGTAGGGAAAAACTAAACTAAAACACGCGGAGATCTTATGTTATTTTCCACCCGAGCTTATCCTTGCTTATTATTTATGCGACGATTGCATGCTCATTCATTCACGTCTGTCCGATTAAGCCAACTTGTTGACTAGGTGGCTAGTCGCTTGTTGATTTTTCAAGAGTGCAGCTCAATTGGTTTGTGGCGTTTTTATTCTTCGTGTTTAACTATTACTCATTTGTACATTTATGTACATACATACACACATTCATGCATATTAAAATCTCTTGCGAGCGTAGTTTTTTATTTATTCAAGTACATGCACATATGTACATATGTACATATGTACATATTTAGAGGTATGGATGTACATACATATGTAAGTCCGTTCATTTCGCTTTCCAGCGTGTCACTTTGTGGGTTTGTACGTTTTGTCGATTAGTGTTGCTGCATGCCTGGTTGTCTGGTCGTCTGGGTGTCTGTCTGTGTCGCGTCTGTGCTTTCTGCGCCGTCTGCTCGTTTGCGGCTTCTGGCCCACTAAGCGCTTGCGTACAATTCATTCTTGTTATTGTCGAACAGCCACAACAAATAACAGACATGGCTAGACACTGTCTCGCCAGTTGCTCTTCATTATCATAAGCGGCAGTAATAGCAGTCAACGTCAACGTCAACATCAATATCAACAGCACCAACAACAGCTGCTGGACCGGCTGCAATAATAGGTAGAACCAACTACAACAATAACGCAAATATTAGCCAGCAACAACAAAAGGTTTTTCGTCCCAGCTCTAAGCTTTAACAATGAAGTCTCTGTGAATTCCACCACCTTGACTATTTTCCTCTGAGGTTTTTATATGTATTGTACATAGGCACATCTCCTATTAATTCCCTATAAATGCCAATTATTTGCGGCCAAACGGATATTTGACATCTTACAAATATTTTTGCATGCATACATACATACATACATATATACATTTATAAAAATATGATGTGCACATTACATAAATGCATACAATAATTCGGATTGAAAATAAACTTATCCATATGTATGTATGGTATGTGTATGTTTGTACATAAATATGGAGATGCACATGTGTGTATATACAGTATGAAATGTGCGTTAGGTATGAATGACTTTCGATGAATTCTTCAATTTAGATGAGGAAAAGGTAAGTACAATAAAACACTAATTATTACAATATAGATACGTGTGCATGTGTATGTAAATGGATGCGAAGATAACATTTGTTTATTGGTAATTTACCAGTAATCCGCGGGATTTTACAGAATTTAGAGTGTGATCCATTTCACCCTTATACAATATATGTACATATATACATACATATGTATATACATATCCGTATGCATGAAGTGTATTGGTAAACAGATCATGTATTCAGGTATTACTAAAATATTCCGTAGTTTCACCAAATTCTTCGAGCAGACTTTGTTTGTTCGGTCCACCGTTTTTAAGTTGCGCCAAGGCTCATTGTGCTCCGCGGCTTAACTCAATCCAAGTTTATGCTATGGAAGGATTTGAGCGATCTAATAAATTATTTAGTAACTTCCAACTATGCTCGTCCATCTAGAATCTATGCTGTCCCACTATCAGTAACATCCGCAATGTCTACTTGGAAGGTGAAGTTTGGTTATGGAAAAAAGCTGAACAAGGGAACGCAGAACAAAAATTGAGCTGCATTACGAAATCCCATATTTCCTTTCTACATTCAGAACACAAGGGGACACAGCCCACCGATGGCCATACCTAAAACTAAACTACTTAAATTACGATAATTAAGGTGGGAAAATTTATATCAAATTGCCAAATTTGTACAAAGACAAAGAAATGGAAATCATTTTTTTGGTTTTCAAATCAAATTGGTTTTTCAAATCAAAAGAAATCAGCAAATTTGATTTTTTTGAAGGAATACAGAATTATCGCCGTCCGTCTTCATATATTTTTTTTTAAATTCAAGTTATACGAGTATATTGGTTAAATTTAAGTACAAACCCTTGGAAGGGTTTACTGTACATTCGTTTATATGCATAAATTCTTTATTACGGTTTAGTTTTTGTCATTACGCACTTACAAATGTACCAACAAAGGCAATAATTGTGTTAATGAGATACACACACACATATATATAATATAAAACATCAGACGGTATCGACCTACAAAAAGTTCATTAACGGCGGCCATTCAAACATGGCCTAGACAGATCCCAGACAGTTCCCAGACGGCCTAGCAATGTGTATGTTTGTTGTTTATTCTGAGCACAGTGATCTATTTTATGGCATTGTGCAATTTTGTTGTTTGAAGAAATAGTATAAAATAGTAATAATAATATTTTTAAAAGGAAAACTTGTAATATATGTATAAATATGTACTAACAATCTAAAGGTCAGGATTCGATAAATCCAAAATCCATCGGCCGTTCTGAGGTGGATTAGATTAAACTCGACAAATATGGGTCGAAAATCACTTCAGCGGTTACCAAACGACAGTTATATATACGAGATATCGCTGAAGCGATTTTTCGGCCGTGCTCTTCCCCTAATTTATAGTACCGCGGCCTAGAGAGCCTTGTTTAAGATATACGAAAGTGACTTTAGAAAATAAAAAACTAAGGGCTTGCGAAAATGTTTTTTGGTATTGAAAATTTTAATCAAATCTGCACGGCCAAATCTCTGACTCTTGACCTTCAAATTGGTTTGAATCCAGCAGAACGTAGATTAATTTCAGTTAATCGTAGCGTGATCAATGTTCGACTGTGATTATCTGAAATCCAATGTAATTGATTTCGCATCGGAATCTAAAAATTACTGTTAGAATCGGTAAATCTTTTTAGTTGTCAACGAATTGCGTTTGTTGAGGAAAGTTTACCGAAAAATCGAAATTCAGAACACAAAATTCTTTAATTAATCGAATTCAATGTATTAAATCCGATATGGTTTCAGAACATGATCGGTTTCCACATCAGCCTTGACTGTCATAGTCTAACATTACTCAAAGTCTTAATTTTCTGAATTGTGTTCTTATAAAAAGTGAGTGGCATCAAGCCTATTCAAGTAAATAAGACACCCTGCACTTTATTATTTAGTTTAGTTATCTTAACGCTACGGCATATTTTTCTAACTGCATTCGAGCTCAAAACAGTCCACTGTGAAATTGTTTGAATGACACCCGATGCCACTGCAAAAAATTGCAATGCAACAGCGTTTGCAATGTCGGACCAAACAAACCTCAACACCGACAAAAGCACTTCTTGGATACAAGCACTGACGGCGAAGTCAGTGCTGACGCAGCCACAGACTTGTGCATGTAAATGCGACTCTACAATATATATAGAGTCTATATGCGGACATGTATGTTTGTGTGTAGGTAGTTATTTGGCTGAACTGGTGGTCAGACGTAAATCGAGTAAATTCCAAACAACACGGCATACACACATACACACATACACACATACATATGTACGTATACTCGTACAACGCTGACGATTATGCTTTATTGTCGCTGCAGTTAGTTGCAGTAACAAAACTCAATGGAAAGCAATGTACCTGCGTATAATTATAATAACAACAACAATGATGGCAATGTGGTTTGTATCAGTTTGGACACATTGCTTGAAGCAAAGTCCACATAAAGACAATGCGTCTGGTATTTTTGGCCACTCGACTTGTCTGCCTGGCTGTCTGGCTGTCTCCTTGATTGCCGGTATACCTGGTTAATTGTATGTATGTGTATGTACAAGGCGACCAATAGCTGGCGGCAGGTGACGTTGCACTAAATTGCAAGCATCACTCTAAATAGAATCTGAATGCGTGCTTACAGCCCTGCAATCTCCCACAGTGTGTGTATCTGTGGATCGAGTTGACCATGATCTCTTTGTTCTTTTCGATGATACATGCGAGTATATGATGAGTGTTGACGAATACATCAATATCATATTAATTACTTGGATACGTGCATACATACATATGTATGTATATGTATAAGTATTTATAAATGCAGTTTAATTGGTGAGATATTATAGGCAACACAGGGTCTTCTAAGAGATCTTTTGTCTAACCATCATTTACTGTCTCACCCAGGCTACGCAATCTGTGAAATTTATAAGTTTATTTTGGAAGACGCTTTTGGTTTTGTATATATGTATGTTCTTTGATCTCTTACAGTCTAAATACCAATGTATGTACCTAAGTATTTTTTCAAAATAATTTATAGGTTAGGGAACACTTTCAAGTAAAATGTGATTAGTGCCAAGCGATGCACATTGAGACACAGAAGTATAATCATCATTATGCATTCTCAATGAAGCTTTTGTACTAGATTCAGACAAATACAATAAAAAAAATTATTGACTTTCTGCATAAAATAGCGATTTGAAAACCGATAAATATTTGTAACTTTACAAAACTGCAAACTTTTAAGTTTTAAATTCTATCAAACCATTTGAAGAGAAGAAATGTTTCCTCTTATATCGCCTCAGTTCCAAAAAAAGTGTGGGTAGAATCAAACAATGGCTTAGAAAAGCCATAAATTTTATTTTATTTCTTTTATTTAATTATTTGAAACACAAATATAAATAATTATATTACATAAGTAGAGACACTAGACACTATCTACTAAGGCTATCGGCTTGAAAGTATTCTAAAGAGATTTTTATATGAACTTATAAACTATTCTTAGAATAATGTAAAAATGTAAAATGCATTTTGGGATTATAATATATAATGTACCAATTTATTTTGAAAGATAAAGTCAAAGATACGGTTAATGTTGTCTAGTGATGGAACCTTTAAGAATACAGACGGTTTTTCTATTCCGAAGATGTTTCTCCTAGCGATTTTAAATTTTGGACATTCATCGAGGATATGGCTTGTCGATTGTGGACAATTGCATGTAGGACAAGTTGCAGCTGGGCTCCCAATAAGAATGTGTTTGTTTGTAATCTTCGTGTGTCCTAGTCGAAGACGCGTAAAGACTTTTATTAGTTTTGAGAGAATAAGATTTGGTGGGTAGGGTTTTGAACGGGTTGGATTTATTGTATTGTAGGGATGTAGGTACGATACCCACTTATCATCAGTGCGTCTTTTGGCGGCAGAATTTTAACATATCGGCTTTCAGTGTAGGTTGAAATGTACGACAAGGCGCGTTGGAGGCATTTTTTGTAGCTTTATCAGCATATTCGTTTCCAGCGATTCCCCAGTGGCCTGGGATCGACTTTATCTTAATTTTGTTGATGTATTGCTGTAGTTTTGTTCTGATTTTACAAATTAGTGGTTCTTGATTCTGGAAGCTTTGAACTGCAGGAAGAACTTAAGATGGCTTACTCTCTAAAAGTGCTAAACCAATTAAATTTAGATCGAACAGAGCATTCATACTATGATCTCAAAAGCATTTATGTTTTAAGCAATTTTTTTTTGTTACCAAAACTCAATCCTATCATCGTTTTGTTCGTTAATTTTCAAACTGGCAAACTATTTTCCTCTCCGAATGTGTAAATTTCTCGTCAAACTAAATGCCAAAGGTTTACCCTTTCTTAGCAAGTCTTCCAAGGTTTGACAATAGTTTGTTTAGGAGCATATTGACCATGCAGAAAGATAAAAGGACGGGCTCGGCCAAGGCCAAAATCCTTATACCTTTTGTGAATGTCGTATTCTAGACTAACACATTCTTAAGTGATAGTCTTTTTTTTCATATTACTTTACAAGTTACCTATATTTTCGAAATCACATACATATATAGTTGTAAAAGCTTCCCACAGAAATCTGCCAGACTTTCGGAGTCCAAGGATGAACTTTAAGATGACCGCTAGACCTAAGCTCTTATAAAATTATCCATTTTATATGTACGAGTGTGCATAAGCTAGAAATGCATAATCATGCATATATACATAATTACATAGAGACTTTAATACCGATTTCAGCACAAAATTGTTAAAAAAGTCGAAATTTCCTGGCTGAACGTGAATCATACAAAAACTTTTCAATTGCGGAACCCTGGGTATACTACATTTTAATTCGAACAAAATTATTGTATATAAATGTAATACACGTATGTATGTGTTAGTAAAAGTACAAAAACCAACAAAAAAGTCTTGGGTTGCTATTCATATGAGAAGTAGAATTTCGTTGCGGACGATCAGTGGGTGGTTTTGTTTACGCCAATAACCAATAAAGTGTGGCAAATTGCAATTATTGCATTTTGTTAATAATAAATTTCATTTTTCATCTGCACAACTTCAAGAATTTTCAGGGTACATTGTATTTCTGATTACTTAATCTCTCGATGTACAACTTAATTTAAAAGGTCATAACGAAGAGCTATTTTAAATGTATACGTGTGTATATGTATGTAAATATTTCGTATTTTTGTTTGTATTTAAGTAATTACAAATGTACGAGTATGTACATTGTATGTACTAAGAATATTATTTTCCACTTGGTTTTTGTTCTTTTTTCTTTGAATATTGAATTTTATGTACATACGAACTGTACGTGATTGACATTTAATTCATCCTTGAAGAGACAACTCGCGAAAAGAATTTTTCCAATTTTAATTTGAAATTCTTATGTTTTATGTTTTCCCCCTAAAATTGTTGTACTACAACATGGTACTCACGCGTGCCTACATATTAAAAAATGTATTGTAAATATGTCAAATGTATCAATATTATCATTTTGAATTGTGGAATGCAGATCAGAGCATTTGTATTTGTATGGATTTGTATATAAAGCTGTTAAATATACTTGTACGTTTCCAGAGTACTTTTTAAATTCTTATGTTGCACTTTAAACAAATTCCTAAAGTAATCGAATATTTATTTAGGATAAATTTATGGATGAAATACCAATCAAACCATTTTTAAATAGAATAAGTTAGCTATTTGGCACAAGATATAAATATATAGATACATAAGTATGTATGTATGCTCGGTAGATTCTGAAAATGATCATCTTGGAATTTATTTATTAATATATGTACGAATTTATGTAGAAAGGTGTACATAACGTGTGTAAAAAGCTGAAATGCGCCACGCCCGATTTTAAAGATATAAACAACACTTTTCATAACTATTTTTATGTGTGAACATATGTGCGCATACACATATTCATATTTTGGAAATTATATGTATGAAAATGAATTTATTACATAAAAAACGTCATAGAACACTTACCGAAATTCTTTGATTACGTGAAAGCGTTGTGTGTCGTCTTGACCAGCGCGATCTTCGTTATTTGGATTTTGGCTTTGCATAATGCTGTTCATTTGTGCCACGGTCAAGTTGAACCTGGCCAAGATGGTGCGATTATTTCGATCGACAATTTCGGTGCGTACTGTGGCGTCGTCGTCCAAGAAGGTGGTACCACGCTTTAGTGAATGACCATTGATTTGAGCCAATATCGAGAATAGAATAAAAAGCTCGATGCCGGCGTGTATTGAAAACATCGCAAGTTTTGCATAATATTGCACCGTATTGAAAAATGCCATGGTGCTGATTGACTTTCACTTTTTACTGCTCTCTTGTGCGTAATAATTTCAGATTTAATTACTCAACGGTATTTTAAAAATTACTTAACATGATCAAATTTCAGTTTTAGTTTCTTATTATATTTTTTCTCAATCTCCCTTTCGACAGCACTAATTGGATTGTTTATTTATTTCTCAGCTCAATTTATTGTTATTTTCTCGGCAACACTATCACTAGTTCAAAGCGTAATTGGAATTTCTATCTCATAATTTATTTGTTTGTTTTTCTTCCGAATTCGGATGTCTTCACTCTAAGAACACCAAGTATGAAGTGATTTGCGCGAGGCGCTTCAAGTCTTAAATAACATTTCACATACTTATATCAGATACAATATTTGGTTTGTGTTTGGTATATGTACTTCGCATGCGAAACGTTGTTATATCGTTTCGTAAATGCTTCTGCTCCCTACTACTACGCCATGCGATGTTAACGCAACGATACACCGGAAAAATAGTCACTGCGTTTGTCTGGATTTTTTGCATATGCTTTTAGGTTTGTGCTTACAGTGTTGTGCAAAGCCTTAGCAACTTTTCCTAGCATCACATGGGCATCATGGTTGAGACCATCGCATAATTATTTAAACTATGTAATAAAGGTAAGAAATAGCAAATCATCAATAGTTTGGACAGCAACAGGTTTTATATTAATTAGGAACAGATAACTTACGTAGTATGCAAGATTTAGAGACTGTCGTGAATGAGAACCCAAATGGATATTCCTTAATTATAACAAATGCTATTTCTCCTTATGCCATAAACCATTAAGATCTCTGAACGTAGAAATTTTAGCTAAACAGCAGTACTTTAAATGAAAATCTCTATTGTAATATCAACATCACCACATTACCAGAGCATAATGCTGCCTCCTCCATGCTTAACAGTGGATGCCGCGCAATCTGGATTATATTCTTCCCTAACCCATCGCCTCACGGACGTCACACCAGGTGCTCCAAATATCTGTAAAAAAGAAAAAATAATGTTTTCATAAGACTTGTATTATGTCTTCAAAATTGCTCTAGGGTAAGAAGCTATGGCTGTTAATACTTTAAGACGATCATAACTAAGCTTACCTCGAAGTTTCATTCATCAGACCACAGAACATTCGACCAATCTCCTTCCGTGAAATGTTTATATCGGCGAGCACATTCCTATTCCTCTCTGAGAGCCACGGCTTCTTTCGAGCTTTACATCCTTTTAAACCTGCTTCCAGAAGTCTTCTTCTAGCTGTTCGAGCCCTAACTAGTTTACTAAATTCATCCCAAAGGGCAGCTGCAAGGGTAGAAGAAGATTTTTTGCAATTCTAGAGAGACGCGCGTATAGGTATTCGGTCTTCTCGTTTACTGGTTAGACGCTTTCTTCCACTTTTTGATTTATTATGGTGGGATGGTGGGCGAACGAATTGGCAATCTCAACCTGAGACTTTCCTTCCTTACTTAGAACTTGAATTCTAACTCTATCATCGTAACTAATTTCCGTTTTTTTTAGGAATTTCGGTAAATATGAACTGTTTTTATAAGATTTGTAACTTTTCAATACATGTAATTTACGCTTTCCCTTTCAAATTTTAAATGCGAAAATATTTTGTGAATCTCTCAAAAATGAAATTTTTAGGTTTAGCTTACCCAGAGTGCTATGACTTTAAATATTACATTATTTATTCGTTTAATCAACAGTTAAACACCCATGCAAGGCATTTACAAATAAAGTAGTAACTTTGATAGCCACATTTGATAATACTTGTATTTTAGTAGGGTACCTAATACTTTTGGCCATGGCTGTATATCATCTATATATGCTTTAATAAAAAGATTCATCCACTTTAATAAATTTAAGGAATTTGCTTAAAGCCTACCACTTGCGCCCATTTTTAAGATTGAAGTTATATAATATTCCATGATTTTTATTATTTTCTTGCTGATCATAATTATTCTTCGAGTTTAACGTAAACACTCAAACAATAAATACGATTATTAGGAGCAAAAAAATTGATGGCAAAACAACATTATTTTTTGAGCGTTTTATACAGTGAATCGTTAAGAAAGAGTTGTCCGAGCCGAGTTTGATCGATGCTTTGAGCGAAAAGTTAATGCTATAAAAATAATGGTTATTTCTGAGCGCTATTTATTTACGCACAATAATAAAACACTTTTTGAAGATTTAAAAATTCAGAAATAATCGTTAAATTGCGATTTACATTTTATAACTCATAATGGTTATTTAATTGGCGCAATTGTAGCCGCTGAAGTGATTTTCGGTCGAACTTCTTCTCCACTTTGTGGTTTTGGTCTTGATGTTTTTCCAACATGAAGGGACCTACAGATTGTACTAAGCCGCTTCCGAACGGCTGATGGTTTTTATGAGCCTTTATTTCATGTAAGAAATGCCTCGGAAGAGGAGAAAATTTAACTTAATTTTTTATTTAAATTAATTTTCTATAACTTTTGGATGTGGGTCGTATGAGGATTTGAATTCTGGTCGTCAAAATGGCAGTACGCAATGCTAACTCCACTCTGCTACCGCTGCCGTCAACTGGTTACGGTGCCTGATTTTTACACTTTTCATTCAGACGAATTTAGCACAGATATTGCCAAATTATTTTTTAGTTTATGTTTTGTTTATTTCAACTTTATTTGATTCTCTATTTATAATCATGAAAATCTTGAAAAATCTGATTTCATTATTTTGTTTTGTATGAAAACAGAATGGAATAGAGAGTTTGTGCGTTTTTAAGTCAATGAAAAAAAAAAACACGAAAATTGTTGTAATTCTTCTTCTCTCAGTTTTGCCCAAACAAACTTAAAATTATAGGCAAGGGAGTTGAGAATAAAGTCGGGCTCGTTCTCGCGTTTTCTGTTTCGTGCTGTGAGCATTGGATAAGTGTGCGAGCTGCTGGAAAATGCTCTGAATGTTCCAATAAACGAAGTCAAATGATATTATTAGTTCCATATTTACAAACTTTCGATTACTTAAGTTCGGCTTATGGCAATACATATATATTTTTCCTATTAAATTATATTATAAAAAATTGCGCTTGGAATTAATCTTAATTTGAAATAGCAGAGAAGTGAGAAATAGGTAAAATCTAAACAAACGACACACCATAGGCATATTTATTAAATCTGCTTTATATTTCAATATAAACTTTCGCTTTTCTTTCTTACTTGATTGTTGTTATCTACTAAGGATATCGTGAATTGTAAATAATTTAAGATGTTTAGGAATACTTTAGCAACAACTCAACCGCAATATGGAAGGACTAGACGAGGCTGGAACCAACATCGCTTAGGCGACTGTTTGAGAAGTTTGCGGACACGTTATGTCCAATATTTCCGACAGAGACCCTGTCCGGACACACATGTCTCGGTATTATATAATAATTTATATACTCCTATATATCTGCATATGTATGTCCATAAAAAGTCTCGATATTTTTATGTTTTTGTTTACAACCGTTAGACGTACAAAGATAATATATCACGTATACACTCGATGGTTATCCAAAGTGCGTATCTATGCCGCGTCAAAATAATATCTTGATAGTTTAAACATGCGTGCGACGATAAATTTGTTTAATATTTAGGATTAGTTTTGTGAATGCCGGAAATATCTCGTTAATGTGTTTTTTTTTTATTTGTAGATGCGTGTGCAGATACAGTGCAGCCTTAATATAACGAGCCCCAATACAACGTATATCTGAATTCAAATTTTTTTTAAAGCCCAAGAAATTTACAAAATAACTAATATGTGTACCTAATGTAAGCAAATATTTAATAACCTTTATTTATTGATTTTTTTGCATGTAGACAATGAGTTAATGTTTCGTGTGTATGCGAAAAATACAGTATTTTCCTTAAGGGGGGGAAGCTGGTCTAGAGCGCAAGAAAATGGGCATATTTTATAAATTTATTTTGACTCAACAAAGGAATCAATCCAAAATCTGCGAAAACGGTTTAAAAATATAGGTTTCATGGTACAAATACAAAATTTTTCATGTGAATTAATTTCAAAATGGCCGCTGTCCACCATTTTTCCGAAGTCGCATTTTTTTTCTAATGGGTCCATGGCCGAAAATATAAACTCTTTAATTTTTTCCTGGATCAAAAAATTATTTTTTTTTAGTCTCTATATAACAACAGCAAGAGTCGTACGTGGGATTTTTTTAGATATTTTTTTTTTCGTGAAATGGTGCACGTTTGAACAAAAAGTTGCAATTTTCACTATAAAAAACGATATAAAATTGTTGATTAAAAAATGCTATGTAATATAAAAAAAGTCTTACGTACGTTTTCGGAGAACGGTATTTCGAATGTACTGTCAAAATTTCGTAAGAATCGGAGAAGGTTTGATCGATTCAATATATAAATATATTACATGGAGTGGTTAGAGTACATTGTACTTGATACCTGTGGTTAAAAAGACCACCACTTTCCGTCGGAAATGACAGATACGATAAGGATTAGTGTACCGTTGGGAAGAGAAAATAGCCTGGCTATCTCTCGACCGTAACGTGCATGGCAAGGGAGTTATACTTACTAGACTAGGCTACTGTTAAGGGCGTTTCATCGCTTGGAGCAATACAAAGCGGAGGGAGCCGATGACTTACTGGCAACACCAGTCCACGAAATCTTAGAAAAGATATGTTGGGAAAGGATAAACGGAAGCCATGACTTCGTTGATTTTTAATCTGTTTCCGATAGTACGATAAGTGAAGCCTCTATGCCTCATGTTGGAATTTTGTATTTATTAATTGGGATGTATAAATTAAAAGATCATCCACAAATAAACAGGTTTTGAGCAAGTGTTTCCAAAAAATCCTAAGGAAATTGTGAACAGTTTTTGGGAAGGGGTTGTCGTGCAACTGAATAGCCCTGGGTCTCCGTTTTAGGATATTATCTCGAAGATAAATGTAATTAGTCGAAATTTGTCCAAAAGCGTAAATTTAATAACATAAAGCTATGACAAACGAAATTAATAAAAGAGGAAAATAACCACATGTACATGACTAAAGGCATGGAGAAAGCAGTAATAATGATTTGCAAATTGGAGACGCAAACGTTTGGTGCTTCACGAAAAACCAGCAGCGAGAGCAGTGCTATGTCTTGACCCATACTGGCAGACCTATATGAATGCTTCATGATATGAAAACCGTCAGAGTAAATGAATTAAATTGCATAATTCCTTGTTCGAAACTAGATCAAAAACGTGTTTTTATAGCAGAAAATGGGTTTCGCGTGAAAATGCCATATGAGATCTGTCAAATGAAAACACATCTACAATCAGTTTTCACTGAAACTTCATTCATTCCAACAGATGTCTGAACTGA